ATTGGTTTAGGAATGGGAGTGCTTCAGGGTGGCTGGTGTAAAATGCAAGCAACAGGTACAGAACACTACACCACAAGATTACTTCAGCAGGTGTAGTCAAATCTTTTAAAGTTTAATGATTAAGACCAAGAGGGACACATTTTTAAAACACTGCCTCCATTCATAATGGTATAGAATCATACACACAAATGAAGGGTTCTGTGCATGTGGGTTCATCTACATGCATAAACAGGATTCTGTACGTATGAACTGTATTCACAAGTAATGCAAGCACAATTTAGGCACAGTCACACGTGGACAACATTTATATGCATAAAGTCCACTTGGATGTGTATATACATACACTTCCCCATTTGTGCATTGTTTGCCGATGAAAGAAAGTTTGTGTGTAAGTTCTACTGTAGGCGTTCACAAGGAACCATGCAGAACTGGACATACTAGTGATGGCCAGTTGGGACCTCTTTGAAAACGTGGCCCACATAAAACACATTAATAGGCATGTGTTTTACAGAAAGCAGCCACCCTCTAGCCTCTGTAGCCATCAAAAGATCTTTCCATAAGTAAGCTAAACTTTGTTATATACAGTAGACTACACATATAAGAGATGGATAATTAAGGACATCACACTTTGGACTCTACTTACATGAGTGGGCTTCCTGCCTTCATTATTGAATCCCTATAGTTATACACACTATATATTCAGAGGCCTACGTGGTAGGAGGCCTGATCTCTTTCTTCCCTATCGCTTTCTGGATTCTGCTCACTACAGTTTATACTTGGTGACCAAATACCTCTGCAGGGATCTTGCAGTGGCTCACAAAGGACACGCTTCACTAGCCAGGCAACTACCTCAAAGATCATACTACCTGCCATCTATTGCTGTGTGTCTACAGGGGTAAGATGAGCTTGCTTCCCTTCAGAACCTTCCATTGTGAGTGGGGAAAGAAACAGATTACAAATAGGAGAGTGCTTGTCCTGGGGATGAAACATTTTACCTGCCCAAAGTCAAGCATTATTATGAGCTCTGCATTGAAAGAGACTGTTCCAAGTCCACCTGTCAGGGAAGTGCTAAAAGTTCAGAGATAAGTTCTTATAGACCTTTAGAACAAAAAACAAAAACAGCACTTGTATATTAAAAGCATATTAAAAACCATATAAAAATACTGTAAATCATATTAAAAAAAATCCAAGAGAGACAACAGTTACAGATTATCAAAGGAAGAGAGACAGTTGAAAGCAGGTTTTGTTGGGGTTTTTTTGTTTTGTTTTGTTTTTTGGCAAAAGCAGCTACTTTGGCACAAAGGCAAATGCAGAAGAGAGAGAGACAAAAACAAGTAGACAGTACAGAGAAGGCTTACAGAGTCTACCACAAGCATGCCAGAGTTCAGCACCAAAAGCACAGTTGTAGCTTTCCCCACCCTTCCCTCACAAGAGAGTCCTGTTTATTGGGAAAGAATGGAATCAGCTGCGCAAAAGCTCATTGCTGTTTTCCCAGTTGAAGCGATATCCGTACCTCCATAGCCAGTTTGCATAAACTTATCTGAAAATCCCCACTTAGAGCCCTCCTAGTGTGCACACAGGCTCCTTGGCAAATCAGACATGACCCTTAACAGAACTGTGATTCTAACTGACTGCTGGAAACCTTGGCTTGGATGTCAGAGATTGTCCCTAAAACTACATCATTACAGCACAAGGGACAAGACTATCTGCATTTAATGCCAACTAGAAAGTGGCTGAATTGTGACACATTTAGCAAAGGTAACACATGCAGATCAGGTTAGTAACATCCCATGTGAAAGTGCTTAGTGTGACCTCACCACACCACAGCTGACTGAACCTGCTGAATAGTGTTCAATGTTTGGAGGTCCTTTAAGTTTCCATCTTTTCCACCCAAGTTGGCTTAGAATCAAAAGTGCCAGACTCCCTGGTGGTGTAAAGTAGATGCAGAGTGTAAATGGAAAAGTAGTGTAATTTACACCCATTTCGTATTCGGTGGGAACCAAACATCAGACCTAGCATAAACTGTTGTAATGCCCACTGAACAGAAGATTTGCCTGCTTACACCTGCATTGATTTTTGACCCTAGCAGTGTTGGGGATGGTGCCAGCATAAGTTAAGAATGAGATGGGGCTGCTTTATTCTGCAACTTTCTGTTACTTGCCTTTCCTAGTACACATCTTTTCCTCCACCATCTAAGTTACACTCATTTTGCACCTCCACTGAATGCCATGCCCATGCATATCTCTCTTCTTTGCTACTTATGCTGATTTTCCAACCAGTTTACATTCCACATGCAGCCTACACCATCACTGAAGCTGGCTCAATCTCTCACAGGATTTGCAACTGTTAATGCAGGTTGCATTTGGTGGCATTTGGCCCAAAGGGGGTCAAATGTTCTTAGAAGATATAGAGCTAACAGTTGCAAGTCCATCAGCCAGGAGAAGCAGAGGCTTGGAAACAGCTCCCTGCTCCAGTTCAGACAGGTTCGTGCTTAAGGTATTGGTCTATTCTACAGTGTACACCATCTAGCAATATTCTCTAATTAGCACAATTTAATAAATTATGGCTAAGCACATAGAGGACATTTCTAGTTCAAATTCAGGAATCCATCAAATGGAGATGTGTCCAGCAGCCTCCCTATGACTTTCCAGGGATAGAGTCACAACCTTTCACTGCATTACCAATACCAGTAGTTTAAAGTTCACCCTAATCCCCTCCCCTGCCCACCTCTCTTTTTAAAAGCACAAAGAACTGTAAACACTAGCCATATACTTCCTGACCCAACCAGCAGAACAGGATCCAAAGGCAGGTGGTTACAAGGCATATGACAGTTATATTGCTGTGCTGGCTAAGTGAGAACTGATCTGCAGTTAATGAAGCTGCAGCAAGCTTCTCATGCACACTGCTTTTGAACCAATATCTCCCCCGTTCTATCCCACTTCTCATTATTGCCAGTAGTTTTAAGACACTTAAGACTTCCTACAAGAGGCTGGGGAGAGATGTGAAATCTCAGCTGAAAAGGGAGCATAGGAAGTAAAGCACTGCCCGCCTCCTTACCGTTAAGCCTCTCTCTGGCATGCACACAGCTGAGTATGCAATGCACTATACTACCCTGTGGGCAATTCCAGTGGGTATTTTAATAATATAATAAGCCGCTCTACTATACTTGGTGCTGTATATGAGTGCATACTGCGTCATGTAACATCCCTTTCAAGGGCCAGTGTTCCAAAAAATGTTATGGAATTCCACTTCCGCTCAGAAGCTGAGGCAAAAAGAAGCAGGCTGTTAAAGAAAATAATGTCTGCTCTGTTCTATTCCTCTTCTGTGTAGATGGATCACAGATCTATCCACAAGGTCATGCACAGTCACATAACAATAACAGCAGATATTTATTTATTTGGCCATACCTGTATAGCAAACCATGGTCTATCATCTACCCTCATCACTTATCTCTCCACCAGCATTTGTTGAAGGTACAGTTCTGAGAAACAGCCAGTGTTTTCCGTTCATCTTAAAAGTTAAGTCCCTTCTAAAAATTCTCCCTGTTTTTAAAGAAAGACCTGATTCTTAAAGGGAAGGTAACTTCAAATCACTCAATAAAAGCAGTTAAAAACAGTTTAAAGTACTACACCTGCCAAAGACACGAGGCCAACTTTTTAGATTTTATAATGACATTCTCCTTAAAATTTCTCTCCCCTCCATTTTGCCGCACAGAAAACCCATACAAATGGAGGAGGAAACTGTGAAACTAGCTACATACAAAGTGCTGCCAAATGCACAAAGTAAAACTGAAAAAAGAATTCTCTAATCACTTACAATTATAATCTTACATTGTAATAAATAATAAATAATATGAATAATTTAAAAAATTCAGACAAAGGCGTGATTTAAGCTGACTATATCCCTTAAGATCTTGTAAAGCTAGTACTGTAATTTGGGGACATTTTGCTACACAAAGTGTGACTATTTAATATTTTCTCTTTTCTAAAAGCAACTGACTTAGTTTATCCACAGTATTCAGGGCCCATACACTAGAAACCAACTCTCTTCCCTCTTGCCCCCATCTCACCTTTTCCTTCTCCACTAAATTGCAGTTTTCAATAAGGACAATTGAGGAGTTGGGCCAGATGAGAGTCTGGGGCACAAACAGAACATTTCTCCCAAATTAGAAGGAATTAGAGTTTTCAGATAGAGCGGACTATCCCTAGCAATACGACACATGCTGTAATAACCCAATTCCCAAAACAACTTGCCATGAGCCTCACATGTTCTGACAATGAGGGGAAAGCACCATGATCTGCCAGCACCAAAGAGTTCAAGAGTTTAAGGAACTGGTTTCCTTTAGCTGCAGAAGACACCAAGAATTCTTAAGTAGCCACAGTCCAAAGACAGCAACAGGGATTTTTTTTTTTAATCCAGATACCAGGTTAATGAGAAGCTTGGGAGGGTGGGCACTATATCCAGAATTCAGGTGAACACAGAAATCCAGCTATGAGTTATTGTAGTTCAGAGAGACCTTCAGTACTAACACTGAAGTGCAGACTTCACCGATCAAGCCTTTTTATTTGGGCTCATTCCAAGGAAATTCTGAACTGAGTATCTGTGTTCACCTAGAACGGTTTTAGACAATGCCCTTGAAAGGACAGAGAGTCCAGGCCCCAAAGCCACCACACAAAAGAACATATTCAAGCTTTTACACATTACCCAAAATTCACACAAGTTATACAGCTTACAAAGTCAGGTCATGTTAAAATCTTACTGGTCAGCAGGCTGCCGATAAAACTCCCCCAGGATTTGCATAAGAACCTCTGACTGGACATAGAGAAAGGGGACCCCAAAAGCCATCAGCTGACACATGAAAAACGAGTCCAAAGGATTTTGGGCTACCTGGCGCCCGACCGAAGAAACTGTGCTTTGCAGGCGCTGGCTTGCCACCCTAACTTTGTCAAAGAGGCTGAGAGAGTACTTCACCACCCTGCCAAAGAATGAAGCGGAGCTACCTGGAGTCCTCTCTGCCGAAATGGCTATGGAATTTGCCCGTCCACTTGCTTCAGCTGCCATGGCTTCCTGCAGGGATCCTTTGTTGTCCTGTGAAATGAGGGGGGGGGGGAAACATCAAAGAAGAAACTGGAAACCCCTTAGAAGCATTTACTTTTAATTTGGAGCAGTGTGTTTTAACACTGAACACGCCCAACCACCTCTTGAACAGCAGCATGTGATTATTTAGGGGTTAGGCAGCGTCTGGCCACGACACTCAGGAGTTGGGCCCAACTAGTGCCTCATCATCTGATTATGTTCTGAAGATTGGCTCTCTTAGATGCATAAACTAAAGAGGTGACATTTCTGCAGCTTGCTCACAGAAGTTACAATGACCCGTTTTTGCCCTTCAACTTCAGCAGGAAGCATGGCAGCAATGGGCCTCCATCCTGCCCCTGCACAGGAGTGAAGGAAACACAGCATTAACTTGCTGTGGTAAAGGTAGGGCACAGGGGGAGGGGAGATCACACTTATTACAGAAAACAAAAGCTCCACATATAAGAGGGTCCAGCTTTGAGCAGGTAGGAGAGAGCTGAAAGCCAACGTCATAGGATTTGAGAAGGTAACACTGCTCAGGGTTATAATGTAATTTCCCAAAGAGAGTGTAGGAAGAGAGACTCAAAGTGAAACAGGGACAGAAAATAAGCCCAACTGATGCTTTATGGGTTGCAGGGAGAAAGGAGGGAGATCTTTCTGTACTACACAGTACAACCTGGCCCTCTTTTCCAAGCATAGTTCTACCTGTTAGTAGAAAGTGAGGAAAAACAGTTCCCTTCTAGCAATAGGTTCCTATTAATGCAAGACAAATCTTCCTAAAGAAGACTTCAATTTTCGCCTATGCGAGTGGATTTGGCTCAGAACCCCAATTCCAGCCCACATAGATGGGACTGCATTTCCTGAAGAGAAATGAAAATCATTGGCTTCATTTTAACAAAGCCTGTCCAAGAAACAGAAAGGCTGTCAACTTTGTCATTCTAGTTCTTCTAGTGGTTGCACAGGCTTCAGTAATTATTTTAGTTCAAAAAGAAACTGACAAAAAGATCCTAGACTGTGTGGGGTGGGGTTTTCTTTCTTAATGAGACCCACAAAAACATAAGAGATTGATAATTACAACACAGATTGCTCTTGAATTTACCACTTTACAAAGAGGCAAGACTTCATGACATTTAAACAAAGTGATTCATTACTTCTACCCTCTGCAAAAAACACACATTTTCCCAATAGCAGGGATCAGAACCCATTACACCCAACATGTCAAATTAGAATAAAAAGTTACCTTTCCTGACAGAGTACCCACTGCTGGTCTCTTCCTTTGAGCATATCCAGAGAGTCGGTAACAGTAGTGAGGTTTACAGTAGAATTTACCTGCAGTCAGAACAAAAGGGAGAGAAGTAACAGTGAGAACACAGCAGCTAAGTCTACACAATGTAACACTCTACCTCAGTGAGATTTACTTTGCTATCTCCACTTCCTGTGCCCGGCCCTGCCCCCTCACTATACTTGGAGACAAACACTCTGAAATTTTAACTCAAATCCTTGTCTCCCCCTCCCTAAACAGTGCCTATTCCACTGGGTGCCTGACAACCATTTAACAGATATCCAATCAGCCACCAAAGCAGAGCTGACAATGCGGCAGTGTGTGAAGAACAAAGACATCATCACATGAAAAGCTGGCAGCCGCACTTTGGGGAAAATCAAGAATGAATACAACTGTCAGAGGAATGAGGGAGGGAATGGGTGTTAACTCTGAAGGGACTATGTATGATAATATACCGAGACTTCTCAAATCTCATTTTCCCAATCAACAGGCTTCACAGGACCCAGCCAAGTGCCACAACTAGAAGTCCACCTGAGTACAGACCTCCTAGTTACCTTTTACGCTTATTGGGACAGTGCTGCTGAAATGGTACCCTGGCCTTGAGGTGCTACTCCAATACAAACACTGGTATCAGGTCAGAGTGGTGGTGCTGTGTGAGCTTTCCATGCAGCTCTGTCACTGCACAGCTGCCCTGAAATGCACTTCAGAGTCCTCTGCTATTCCAACACAACCCTGCAGTGTGACTTCGACTGTTTTACTAGTTCGGCTCCTCCTCAGTAAGAGCACCTCAATCCAAACGTGCAGCCCCTGCTACTAACCCAGTCCTGCCCTCTCCACTGTCAAGTTTTCTCTGCTTGAGTTCTGGCCAGGTTGCTCTCTGGGATTCAGGAGGTGCTTGGAGGACTTACGGCTGCAACCTACAGTCCGGACTCATGGTCTTCTTGGCTGGTAAAATCTACCAGGAAGACACTGAAGCCATTATTTGAGAACACGGACTCCTTTTAGGAAGACAAGGTGACTACATCTCACATTTCAGAGGTCCCTGCTCAGGAAGCTCTTTATGCTGCTAATCTCTCCAACTATTGCCCTATGTCTAACTGTCCTTTTTATGGGGAAGGCATCACTGACAATATCATGAGTCTGCAGACTTTCTTAACTCCTTGTACTCTGGTTTTAGGCCTGAGTACTATACCAAGACTACAATATTCTTATTGGTCTCCTTTTGACAAAATATTCAGATGATGTGGTATATAGGGATTCTTTTAGATCTCATAGCTGCCTTTAATACTGCTGACTACAGAACGCAGATTCATCTGTTAACCCAGACAGATGAATAATATTAAGACATGAATGGCTCTAGTCTTCTCTCAGAGAAAATCCAGAGTGAAATATTGGATAATTTCTCATCTGTCCTAGGGACTCTTTTACAGTGTGATGCTGTTGTGAAAAAGGCTCAGATCATTCTGGGATGTACTGACAGGAGTGTCATATGAAAGACACAGGAGGTAATTGTTCTGCTCTACTTGGCACTGATGAGGCTTCAGCTAGGATATTGTGTAAAATTTTGGGCACCACACTTTAGGAAAGATATAGACAAGTTGGAGAGAGTCCAGACGACAGCAACAAAAATGGCAAGAGGTTTAGAAAGCCTGAAATGCATTGCAGAATCCTCTGCTATTCCAACACAACTCTGCTAATGGACCTCAACCCTGCAATGTGACTTCGACTGTTTTACTAGTTCGGCTCCTCCTCAGTAAGAACACCTCAAACCAAACATGCAACCCCCGCTACTAACCCAGTCCTGCCCTTCCACTGTCAACTCTTCTCTGAGTTTGAGTTCTGGCCAGGTTGCACTCTGGGATTCAGAAAGGAAAGGTTGGACAAACTGGGCATGTTTAGTCCAGACGAGAAGGCTGGGGGATAGAAAGGGAGGGAACCTGATAACAATCTTCAAATGTGTCAAGGGCTTTTATACAGAGGACTGTGGTCAATAGTTCTAACTGTGCACCAAGGGTAGGACAAGAAAAATCAGCTTAGTTTGCAGCAAGGAAGATTTAGGTTACATATTAGGAAAAACTAGCCTAATAGTTAGAAAGGTAAGTAGTGGAACGGGTTACCTTGGGAGGTTCCGGAATCCCCATCGTTGGAGGTTTTCAAGAACAGGGTAGACAAACACCTGACCAGGATAGTCTAGGGGTATACTTAATCCTGCCTCAATACTGGGGCAGAGAGTAGACTAGATAATCTTTTGAGGTCCCCTCCTGCCCTACATTTCTAAGATTCTGTGGAGTACCACAGAGTTCTATTTGGACACTACTGCTCAATATACATGAAAAGCTGTTAGGGAAGCAATGTGGTTTGGGTTTCAGTGCTATCAGTATGGTGAAGCCTCAGCCATCAGACCTGGATGAAGTGATCATTTGGCACAGACTGGTGCTTGGATGATTGCTGGCAGAAGACTGAGTAAATGATTGCTGGCAGGGGGAACAACTCGAGCAGACAATAGAAACTATTTCTGCCCTTGCAACTGAGGAAGGATCCTAGTTTATTGTTACTCAGACTTACAAGCAGAGGATTCTATTGGATAATCAGCTGCTTCTGAATGTCCAGGCTACCGGCAGCAACCAAGAATGGTCCTCCCTCACACCCCCCAAATCTTTGAGTACTAAGAAGGCTGCTGTTGTTTCTCTTATATGTGGCCTTCAAAGCTACCACTGGTCCCTTGGGTCTGACAGCCCAAGTCTGTTGTCCTTGAGGACACATTGTAAAGGCCCGTCTAGGTCTTCCTGGGAGGCTGGTTTGGTGATGGTTCTGAGATTTCCCCTTCACCCTCATCCCCTAGTAGTTGAGGGAGTTTGATATTGTTGGTTGCTATAGGATCTATCAACAATATACATGTGATTTCACTTATATATTGACTGTGACACTTGAGTTTGCTATCCTTGTGGTTGTTATCCTAGCCAGTGAATTTATGGATACTATTCTCGGTCATACTCTGCGTGTCTAATCAGTTTCTGAAATTTACTAAGATACTCATCTCCTAACATGCTGCAGCAGTGTATTCCATAGCTTTATTATATGTTGTCTCATTTTACCATTTTTGTTTTGCTCTTGTATGAAAGGGACTGATTGAGTGCCTGACTGGTCTTCTGTTGCCATTCACTACTGTTATTTTGTCTTCTTCAATAAGCCTAATATGGCATCACACTTTGCATAGAATCCTATATTGCTGTCACTCACCCACCTCTGAGTATTTTTTATGCCTTTTCCCCCCTTCTGGTGCTTCTCATAATCCACAGTACTCTGACTCACCTAAACTAACTCATCAGTAAGTTTTGCCACCTCTCTTACAGGACCATCACATGCAAAACACCAGACCCAGTACTGTTCCCTCGGTCACCACTTTTAAAAAGTCTCACTCTATACAGCTAATTGGTCATTTATTCCAACTCTTTGTTTCCACACTCAGCTAGTTTCATCTATAAAAAGGACATCCTCAGCCAGCCTATGAAAAGCTAATATTATATCCATTGGTTATAAATCTCCTATTTTATTAACTTTGGAAGAATTTTTACTAGTTCAGTTCTGATTCCCCTGGCAGAAAGCAGTTTGTGTCTATCCCTATCATGTTTTACTTGCCTAAGTGTTTTAAAGCTCTGGCTTAAGAAGACTCCTACTTTGCTAGAACTGAAGTAAGGCTCAAGGATCTATACTATTCAGGATCATCCTTACACACCTTTTTAAAGGGAAAATGCATCACTGGGGCCCCCCTCCATTCCAGGAGTTATTTTTTAAATGATTAATTACATATTTTGCTAATAGGTCAGATCTTTTGTTGCTTTCAAGAGCTGGCCATAAGGATGCAGTCCCATATAGTCTTACCAGTTTAAATGAGAGGTGGTATTTTTGGAAGAGATATTATTCCTGCTCCTCACCCACCAAGATTTGTAAAGTGAAGCCAGGGCTGAGATCTTGAGGCAACGCTGCAGGTACAGTGAGAGTGTGTTTTTGGTGTAGGAGGAAGACAACCGGTAATTTCTCTTACCATCTTCAATGTCGTAGGCGTAACATGATAAGCGCAGGGTGGTGGCACAGTATTCGCACTTGAAGCAGCTGCGGTGGAAGAACTTGCCTTCAGCACTCAGCCTTTCCATCACGTAGACCCGCTTGCGGCAGAAGTAACAGACATCACTGCCTCCCAAATTCTGGGGAAACTCCTTTTTGAGTGAGCCCTGGACAGAAATAAGGCAGGACCAGTGTTATCAGTATATAATCTCACCTCCCTTGCAGGGTCACCTTTTCTATCTGTGGATACTGAGCATCTGGAAGGGGCCATTCTGTGACTCCACTCAGCCCCACCCAGGGCACCAAGCAGACAACTGCCACCTAGAGACAATAACTAACCTTCAAGTCCAGGGAGAAAGGCCCTGTGGGTTTCACTTCCTACACCTATATAAATTAGGAGTAAATTACAGCTTCCACTCCTTGGATAGGGGAGCTAACGGTCTCACAAGAGGCTATTAATGCTGCCCTGGAAACAGTTGACTGAAGGAGGCATAAAATAGACATCCTCCCTAAGTCAGCTGGGAGGGTTACTTCTGGAATGCTCCTAACCCTGCCTGTATTCACTTGCCAGAGACTGAGGCTAGTCTTGAAACCAAGATTTTCAAACTGCAGCTCAACACACTAACTGCCAGAAACATCAGTATTCCCTCGAGCAACCTCTTAACCCTACATTTCAGTCTCCCTGAGACTTGTGAAGAAAGAAGTTTTCTCCAGGGACACCGCAATCCAGAAGTAGCCTGATTGGATCAAACACAGCTCTATGCATTTGAGGGTCAGGACTTCTCAGTCTCTCAACTTAGTATCCCTGGTCCAAGGATGTTGGCAGTAGATTAAGACAGACTTTGCAAGGACAACGGGGTGATGGCTGGGGAAGAAAATAAAGTCCAACTATAAAGTTATTACAACGTATTACCAGCGTCTTTCAAGACAACTAAAGACTCAAATCAGTACAGATCTACAGAACTTCTAATCAAACACACGTATCATCTTCTGTACATCATTCTCTTACCAGTTCCTTCTTGTCTAGAAGGGTTTTGGGCTGTTCTTTCCTTTGAAGCTGATTGGCTATCTGCTCAGCCAATGAGCTCACTCCGCCTGTGTACATCTTTATATACTTCTACCAGATGGGGGGGACAAAACAGCAGGGAAGCGAGGAAAGAAAAAATCAAATTAAAAAGATGACAAAAATGATAAAAGAGTAAGTGATGAAAAGGTGCAGAGAGGTCAAACCATGCCAAGACAGTGGAGAACACAGAGTGATTGTGTAGTAACAGCAGAATCAGTATCATCAGTGATCACCAGCACAGCCCAGCACTAACTGTAATAGTACCTAAAAAAAAAGAGGGAAGTTTGAAATTGGTCACGCTACGAAATTAGAAGTATGTTCTTTCTTTCTTTGCTCTAAGGATGTTTTGCATATGAAGGACCTGAACATTTGCTTTCCTCTGGGAGGAAACAAAGCTAGGACAAATTTTAGCTTCCAGGTAAGAGGGACAATGGGAAAAGGGTAGAGAAGAGGCATTTCATAAAGTTTAAATTCGAAGAACTGTTCACAAAAGTGCTTAGCAAAAGGGAGCAAGTTGTCTCCAGGGCAAAGAAACCCTCAAGCTCAAAGTGAGTTGCAGCGATTCCTAAAAATCTTTAATTCCTCCACTGCTGCCAGAGTGCCTGTTCACAGTACACAAACAAGTTCTGGAGTTTATCTGGAAAGTGTGAGGGGGACTCTGATCAAACACATTACATTTGTATCTGTATATACTTGGCACCAAGTGTGCTCAGCTGTGCACACCAGCTTTGCCCATAGGCTGTTCTGTCAAGGGTATTTTGCCTGGCTCTGTAACTCTGAGCATCTGGATCAAACTAAATTGCAACAAACCTTTTAATTTGGGTCGTTAGGAATCCAGGCAGTTTGGTTCTTGACTCAGGGAGTGAGTCCCAAAAGGGGAGTTTTACAGTTTGTTTTCTAGCTGAGCTTGGAAGACCAGTAGAGTTATACAAGAAACATTCAGGACATTTGGCAGTAATTAAGTGGTTAAGGAAATAAAAACTTCTGTGGAAAGGCAATCCTATTACAAGCACCACATATGTGTCTCAATACAGCAGCAGGCCAGGCACTGTCACTTATTCAGATCAGGGAGTGTTTTTTTTTAAATGTTTCTCTGACTTACAAACAAAGGGCATTGCAGGAGTCTCATCAGTAAATGTAAAAAGAAAAGGAGTACTAAAATTTGAGCGTAAGCATCCGATGAAGTGAGCTATAGCTCACGAAAGCTTATGCTCAAATAAATTTGTTAGTCTCTAAGGTGCCACAAGTACTCCTTTTCTTTTTGCGAATACAGACTAACACGGCTGCTACTCTGAAATCAGTAAACGTAGAACTGATTCAGCCCTCCATATTAAGCCCTCTGGCTTCTTACAAGTGCAACATTTCTGGGATACACTACTCTGAAGCAATTAACTTTTTGCAACCCAGAAATTCCTTTACTTATACTGCAGGGTTTCTATACTACATGCTCAGAAGTATCCCTGTGTAAAAACATGTTTAAAAAATTCACAGTACAAGAGGATTCTGGCTGTCCCCATGGAACACAGATCTTTATGACCCCCATCTCTTGTCATGGAAACCAAGCGATTCCCTTCCCTTCTACATTTTTGTGAAAATTTTAGTGCTCACAAAATTAGAAAATAGAGAGATTTTACAGAATCATGACACAGATTATTTCTATGATCTGTAAAATAGTAATATTTTACAAAAAGTTATGAACTTTCACAGTCTGTTCTTGGATTCCATGGCTGTGATTATCAGCCATTTACTGATGTTTGTATCTTTACATGTTTGTGAGCATGGTAGCATCAGGAAACACTAAGGAGTTTGAAACCCAGCGTTAGGAGGGTTTCCTAAAGAACAAGCCTGGAAAAGCCAAGGCCAGGATCAGACAATTTATCATTTATATCTATTAGATAAGTAAGTAATAACTCCATAATCTATATGTCACTGCATTATGAGTGTTCATTACTATAAGAAAGTAAGAGATGTACTGCCCTGTAGCACTGCCTGCTATTCCACTCTTGCCTCTACTCCACCCAATATACACAGAGCTCAGGTAATGCACAAGCCTAAACTGAGCGTATGATCTGAACATTGTTACTCATGTCCTTCTTCTTCCCTCCCCCTCCTACTGTTGGTTACCCTCATGCATCACAGGTTGCCTAATATTATACTGTCAGTGGAGCTGGCTGGAAGGTGTCCTCCCTTCCCCCACAAAATGGGGAATTAACTTTTTGTCAAAAATCCCAACACCTGAAAATTGTTGGTAGACAAATTTCCTTTTCTCTGTCAAAATCCCATCAACATGTTGTAATTTTTGCACCATGGAAAGCAGGCATTTTTTGTGAAAAATTCCATTTAGTTGAAACCTCAATTTTCCACCAAAAAGTTTTAATGGAAAATTTTCAACCAGCCTTGATTGTAAACAATTTGGGAGTGGAGTTTTCTTTCTGTTTGTACTGTGAGTTGCTTAGCATGCAGTGGGTGCTGTCAACCACCCCAGGTACAATGACAATCTTTAGCTGCAACAACCTATGCTATTTCACTTACCAGCTTCTCTTGGGCAGCGACTTTCAAACCATATGGCATTTTGTGATGTGGATGTATGTCCTCTATACACTAGGAGACCAACCAAATTCCTGTTCCTTGTACTACGAATGCTAGCCATTTTAATTTCCACTAGCTTTTTCAGCAAGCCAGAAGTGATTTTCCTCCATTATTCCTGCTCTCTCCCCATAAATATATATACACACACAAAACCATGCTGTAGTTTGGCTCAAGCCCTCAAAGGGAAGCAACAAACATGAAAAAAGCTTTTATGCCCCTGTAGATTATTCCACAGCCAGAAGAATTCCAGTGCTGGAAAAAGCTGATTTGAGGCTATTTAAGACCTCAAATCAGACTCACCAGACTTTTGTCATTTAACTTTAAGCATGTTTTGTTCCAAATGGCTGTATGGCTTGGAATAACCAAGATATGCCACAGGCTGCCTCTGGCTTTTCCCATGTGCACGTGTGTGCACGCACTGCATTCAGCCACATCAAGGCAATGAAGCGTCACAAGCCTAGATCTCTTTTGTGGCACATCCTCATGGTGGAAAATGGGCGGGGCAGTGGGTACAGTTGAGTTCAGCTTGCAAGGCCCAGGCCATGCTACCTGTCGAAGGGAGTCAGATGAGGGTGAAGAAGGGCGGTTGGAAGTACGGAGGCAAAGGGAGCGTTCCCACTGGTCAACAAAGAATCGACGAGACGGTTCAGTCTCTGGCTAAAATATAAAATACATTGAGAAAAATCAAGAAGGGATGTGGACAAAAAGACAAAACAAAAAGATCACAAAGGAACCTTTAAGTAGAGTCAGGCAGGTGACCATCTGCCTTACGTCCTCCCTTTCCTCAACTGAAGAGAATTTGTGCACCAAATGCCCTTCATTGCCCTTTAAATTCATTTCCTCTCCTCCCTCAATGTTACTTTGGAAGCAATTGTCCACCCGCACAGAAGCCTCACATCCTGTGCATTACTGTCTCCTGCAACGAGGCCGGATAAACCATTCGTGCAGATCCCAAGCTCATCTCTGGTGCTCCTCCTACTCTGTCCAAATGCAATCTGTGTTACAGCCTTAGGCAGGAGTATGAGACAGACAGCTTTGCAATGTAGTTTGTATTTCAGCGGAAGGGGAGACCCCCCTTCCCAGTCTTTAACTACAAAGGCCCAAGAAGCTTGCCTTCTTGGGGGTAGGGAGAGAAGGAAACCACCTCATATCTCCAGCCTTCAGCATCCTCACTGCTATGGTGGAAGTGTCTACACTAAAGAATTAGGAGCGAATTTCATCCTATAATCCACTCTAAGCTGGTGCTTTAATTTCGGATCACTTTGCTCATCCTCCATATGCATGTTATATTAAATGGCAACAAACAAGAAGATAAACGCTCTGAAATAGAAGGTAATGAGCTGTGACAACATTCTCTGTCCTCCAACCAGGAGACTGGGCACAGTGCAGGGCAGAAAACCATGTGTAATCTTTCCCTAACCTATGCACAGTGATCAACCCCCCATCCCAACATTCTCCCACTCTCCCAAGAGGGGCATCTCCCCACTTCACTTCACTTGTTACTGGCTGAAGCTATTCCTGTCCCTGAGAGCCAAACATAGCCTAAACAAACGAACCAGTGTGAAGTATGAGCACTAGTTCCTTTTCTGCCCTTGCTTACCATATGGCCCAGGCAGAATTCCCAGTCTGAGAATCCATATACCTCTGAAACAGCTTCTCCATAGCACAACTCAGAAATCACTATCTCAGCATACGTCTCTCAACCCACCCATCCTTCCCTGGTTCATTAGCACCAGCTGCTAAGAAGCACCTCAAGTAAATATGCACAACACAATAATTAAAAGCACTGAGGTCAAGTAATTTTAGTACAAATTGTGAGCTTCTGTATCATTATATGGTGAGAAAATGTTCTGCAAATTCCAAATAGCTGAACATTTTAAAAAAAATCCACCACTGTGAAAAAGGAAAATATATATAAATAAATAAAATCAGAGCTCTTTTTATGTGACCCACAAAACCAGCTGTTTTTAGCCCTTACATTTTCAAACTCTGCATGTATCTGACACACATTAGCCTAAGGACAACGCCCATTAGGCAGAGTGAAAAAATAGCTGTGCTTCCCCAACTCCTGCAATGTAAAACATTTAACCAGTGGTGTCCCTTTTACTTGGACACTCTGTCCCGAATTTAACTTAGCCATCAAATCTGTATTTAATACTCGTTAAATGGTGTAATTTATTAAATCTCTTGTTTTTCTTATACCTTCTCTCCCATCTTCCCCTTTTCTTTTCTTAATATACTACATCATGGTGCACAGGTTCAATGTCTGTTTCCTCTTCTCCTCTCCACCTTATCCCTTATTCCCTACATTATGCTCTGTGCTTCCTCCTCCTCCTTTCTTCTACATCCTCTCACACACAAAAAATAATAATAATAAAAAAATCACACAGTATTAATAGGAAAGAGGAACATGGGACGAATCCCATTCATCTCTTCCACCCACCTAGTGAGCTTGAACACAATATCAGACACCTAACAGCCAGCAGGTTAAACCTGCTAGTCAAAAACCAATACAAAAGATATGATAGGTGTGTTTTCGCCTACACACCATTCAACTTCAGCTGCTGAAATCCAGGTGAGGATGCTGTTCTCAGATCGTGCTTGGCATCTTCTGCTATATCAACCTTCAGCTAGTAGGTGCTAATAAATCTGAATGTGCCCTCTCCCCCAGTTTTCCATGGCTGCTACAAGATTTCCAACTGTCCCAGCCACAGTTTGAATCTTTCTCTGCAATGGTTGCTTCTGCTGCTGCTGACAGCTTCCCCAAGGAGCAGCAGTCTGAAATTCACCCGATTCTTGCAAATTTCACTCTGAGGCAGCTTGGGAAAGATGTGACCAGCAGCAGAAGCCCTGGAGCTGTTTATAGGCCTAAGAAGACACCACTGGATCATCTTATACTCATCTCATGTTTGGGAAGTCAGTTCACATCCATAGGTGCTAGAAAACGGATTAAAAAAGAAAGCCTAGATTCTGCAGAAGCGGATGGCATTTTCCCCCAAAAAGCTTCCTAACTGCCAAAAAGTATTGGTGAAGACCTCCCAGGTGTGACTGTGTATGCGCTGTTGTTGGAATGGTGGTGTGTATGGGGGGAGGCTGGAGACCAGAGAAGCTACTGTCCAAAGTGGCAGGATCCCACAGGTCAGAAGACAGGTGGGTGAGAGGAGAAAAATAACTTTAAAAGTTTGTGGTAGAAGCAGAAAGAAACTGCACAAGCTGCCATTTTTACTGCTAGAAACAGTACTACTAGAAGCACGGATACAAAACTGGCTCCCTGAAGGGCCATGGATTAGTGCCTGAAAAAGGAAATATGAATGTTCCCACCCCCAAAAGCAACTGGATGGCGCGTCCCAGCAATTCTCTCTGTACTAGCAGAGGGCCATTGCATGACTTGAGCCGAGCTAGTGACCAGCACGTGCCCTGAAGCTTGGGCATTGATCATCCTTGTCAATTGTATTTTACTTTATGAAACTGCACATGCTATGCACCTTCAATAAGTAAGAAGAGAGAAGAATTGGCAGGGAAAGAAGTGGAGTAAAAAAACTGTTCAAAACAAGAACTGATTATGGTGTCTTTAATGTGGTGGTGTAAAGTAACAGTCAGTGCACACTTCTATCCCGCTGATCCCAGCCGTCACCCCTTACCCCATTCTCTTACAAACAGATACAGACTGCCAGAGCGGGCAGTAGTCACCTGATGCCTGATTGTCAGTCTTGGCTCCAGGAGGGCAGCCAGTTGGCATGCCCTCTGCTCAACATTCAGTGCTTGCTCAGGCACTTGGTCACCAGAAAAAAACCGAGGAGATCTCTGTGGGATAAGGAACAGGGGAGGAAATAAACAAAGAGAGGAGAAAAACAACCCCAAAAAGGAACAGAAGCAAAGCTCACAACAAGGCCAATGCCAGGCAAAAGACATGAAAGCCCACATACAGAAGAGCAAAGCAAGAAGGTGTCCCAGATGAAGACTCCTTCCTCTCTTCCAATTGAGACCCAATACGCACTGCAATTCTGCACTAGCAAAGCTCTGGATTCAGCCTCTCGAGGCTAGGGAGGAACAGCTGAATTAGACAGTCATTCACAACTCACTGTCTGCAGACAAAACCAAGCCAGCGCACAGCTTCTGTCTGGCATTCCCATCCAAGGTAAGTTCACCACGAACCAATAGGCCTGGCTATGGTCCCGTAGCAGCTCCGTCATTGGCACTTACCTCACCCCAGTTCTTTTGTTTAAAGGATTTTCTTTACTCAGATTTCCAGACCTAGACACAACTGTTTGTACTCCTCACACTTTGTGCACAGAAGCACTCATTTTGGGGTAGCGCAGTTCAGTTCTGGGAGAGGATGAGCTAAACTCCCAGCAATGCCTTCCTAGGCGCCTTTAAAATACTGGGATATAGAAAGTTAGGTGAATGTAGGGCTTATGAAAACAAAGGGACTCAGCAGCACTGGCTAGAGTCAGGTATAATGCAAAGCATTATGCAAGCTTCCCACTCTTGCCCCAGCACCTCCACTACACTAACCCCATCCTCCAACATAGCTCTGGCCACAGGCCGCAACTCTCACATGCTACCCCCCTGGCTATTCTAGTCCTTGGCACTGCTTGAACTGATCTTGCTAATTGGTTGTACAGTGAGCTCTTGTGATACTGAAAAATGCCCTCTCGGGATGGCTAACACATCCACGTGTATGTACTTCTATCTAGGTGGATGGGGCAGTAACCCAGAGTATCATGCAGTTCCCAGTAAGTTACTTTGCTTGGGGGAATGAACTGAACGGGAAGTATAAACATCTGTATGCTACCTACAGTAGGCTCAGGCTGTTGAGAAAATCCCAAACAGATGACTATGCTGTCTGCCAGATGAAACGCACTATGACAACAGGCAGACAAGGTGGGTGAGGTAATATATTTTATTAGACCAACTTCTGTTGGTGAGAGAGACAAGCTTTTGAGACCAATAAAAGACATTACCTCATCCACCTTGTCTCTCTAATATCCTGGGACCCACATAGCTACAACTACACTGCCTACAACTATGATAAGAGAGCACACAACTGTGCTCACAGCCAGTTACCGATTGTGCTCTTTTCCCATTTAAACACAGAAACCAGTCTCACTCCTTTTCTATTTTAAGCTGCTTGTCAGCCCAATTCACTCCCTCTTACTATACCATTTTATCAGAAGTAAAACTAGAGCTTGTTACAAAACTGGGGGTTCCTGTGTTGCTGCAGACAAGCTTGTTAAGCTTCTGCTGGCAGTCCAAAAACATGCCACCCACCTGACAGGTGCATGAGACTGCTGAAAGGGACATACTTTGGAAGTCATGGCAGTTTGCTGCTGACTCCCAGTTATTATTTAACTTATCAACTTCAAGAGGCAGTTAATTGGTTAATCTGAACCCAGATCTTTCAACTGTGTAGTCCCCCTTCCTCACATACTTTAAATCTCCTTTCACCCTTCCCATTGACAGCAGAACATTTCATTAGGAAGAAGGCTTCCTATTCTCTGCAGTAAACCCCCCCCCCCCCCCTTGCAACCTGGCATTCAGAAGGCAGGTTGGAATGCCAGCTGTTTAATGAATCAGAAAGCAGCCATGGAAACAATGCAACCAGTGCTGGTGAGTGGACCCAAAACGTAACCCTTCCTATTCTGTGACAGCCACAGCACACTTTATTAAAAAGAGGTGTGAGAGAGAGAGAGAGAGAGAGAGAAGAATGGGGGGAGCTAGAGCTGATCTACAGCAAAATAAAAGCAAAGAGCAAACAGTCAGCGTCGGTGAATGCTTGTTAAGCAAGTATTTATGCAAACACCCTACAAAAATAATCATTCCTAACATTTTCAGCAGCTCCAGTGTGTTAACAGCATTCCAGAGATAACTGTGCTTCCCCCTCCCCACACAACACTGCCCTTGAATATTGCACACACCCCACCACTGCATGTGTGTCATCACCATCCATGCCATTTGCTCATGCTTTTACCCTTTCCTGTCTGGGACTCTGCTCCCCAGGGGGGTCAGCACCAGGCTCCCTGTTTGTCTGTGGGCAATAAAGGATGAGCTTTAAAACAACCACAATCCAAGTTCTCACTCTGGACATGTTCCATTTGATTTATCCTACAATGCAGGCAGAAAAGAGACCATCATGCAGGGACACTGTGGTGTTAAGTACTAGAATTTTTAAAACTGTCCCATCAACCACTTAGATCTTTAGAGAAGAAGTGTGGTGGGTGAATCAGTACACACAGGTCTATATTAGGATATTAGGTCAATTAACAAGTATACATTACTACCCAAAGAACTGGCATTACCATGGGGAAGATAATAAGAACACTCAGTACATCTCACACACACAGTGATATTAGATCAGACGGAAAGTTTAAAAGGAGAGGTAGCAGAATTAATGTGTTAGAAGCGTAGAGAGAGAGTTTTCAAAAGGTAGCAGGTTAAGAAGGATGCAGGCTAGAGTGAAACAAAGCATTGCAGGGGCCAAGACAACCTCAGGAAGAGAGGATATTTTGAGTGAAAACTATTGCCCTCAAAACCGAATCTCCAAATTGGGTATTCATATCTGCGTTATCCTATAACAAAGGGGTAAACCGCATTCAGACCAAAGGGAGGAAGCAGAGAGAGTTTTCCAATTTTGCTTGAGCAAAGAGATGTATTTAAAAAATGGCTCCTAGAGAATGGAAGGGAGAAGGTGGTAAATCCTTAGCTGGTTCCAGCAGTAGCCAGCTGTCAAGGCTTAAATGAGCAAGCCACACAGGAGGGACCAGACATTTGGAGGAGGTGATGAGTAGAGAAGACTTAAGACTGAAAGACTCAGTGTTTTATTCAGAAAGGTACGAACTAAGCATAGCACTTGGAGTCAATTTCCCTACTTAGAAAAAGACTGTCCATGGACTAAGCAAGTCACCACCTCTCTGTCTCGGTTTTCCCATCTGTAAGATGGAGGTAATACTTGCCTATCTCACAGAGATGATCAGATAATGCCTTTAAAGTGCTTTGAGAATCAGAGTGCTCTGCAAGTGCTACATGTCACTATTATGCTAAGGATCTGATTTACAGATCATAGTGGTCATGAAAAGTCACAGTTCAGGCTCAAATATCTGCCCTTTGCTCATTCTGCTACGTCTAATTGCTGCAGCACACAAAACGCAAGTCTTCTCTCAATTTTCAGGTGTACAAGGGAATTAAGCTGACCCTCAGAAACAATTTTTTCAGAATTTAGCTTTATGATTCCCATCAAAATGTTAGGGAATCACAGAGTTGAATCCATATGCTCCTCACATTAGGGAAGGGAGGAGACTTAAAAAAATACAACTCAAAGAAGTACGATCCATATATGAGCTGACAAAGGACAAAATGTGTCTCAACATTTTTAGATATATTTAACCAGAAGGCCAACAAATCCATGTGTCTGTTCTTCGAGGTGCAGCTTTTATAACCTGTACCCAGTGTAAGTGTAACTGCTCTATCTGTACTACAAATGTGTATTCAGACACATTGAACTCAAGCTGCTGGAAGGAGCAGGAGAGGAGTAAGCGGCACAAATGCCTGCCACGTTAACAATCATAAAAGTACCTCATACAAGAGCCCCAGAAAAAGGCTCCCAAGACCCAGGAAGGAAATGAGGTTTAAATGAGGAATGGGGATGGAGAGAGGACTACTAGAAGGGCAGGAAAGTGGCAGCCTCAAATACAGGCAGATGACTACCCAACTTCATTCCCCATCCTGCTCCAGCCAGACAAGCCTCTCTTTTGGAGAAACTGCCTAAGAATGGTGAACAACCCAAGGGTAATAATGGGCCAGATTCTTCCCTCAGACATGAACATACATATCTCATGACTGCAATGGGAGTTGTGGATATGCATTTAAAGGCAGAATCTGGCCCTAACATTTTGCATTTTGAAACTCTCCTCTGCAACGCAAAATTGGAAATGACTGCTATACAAAAAACAAGCCTAAACTAAAATGCCCAATCTGTACTGTGCCAAAAAATTAGTATTAGGATAGATTTTTGATATGCTGTATTCAGTGTCTAGTTGTGCTATTAACCTAGGAGGTCCAAGAAAGCCCACCCATGTGGGTAAAGAAAATTTATAAACAGCGGAGACATTTAGTCATTGATTTAGCAACCTGTGCAAGCAGGAAGGAAGAGGAGAGAGCAGGAGAGAGCATGCAGAGTGAATCACCTGCTGGCTGGGATACCCTGGAGAGGAAGGTGGAGAAGAGGAAGGAGAGAGCGTGATCACTTTTTTAGGGCAGGTTCTTGAACGCTCCTTATTTCTCAGCTTTATTTAAAACAGGGTAGGAAAAGAAAGAGCAATAATAAATAAATAAATAAAATAATAATAATAAAACTAAAGGGAACATTACAATTGTCTTTGGCAAGGCAGGGCGCAGTCTCAGAAGTGCATCTTCTGCGGGACCCTGACCCCCAATCCCACCTCTTTCAAATAACCTAGCACAGGGGTGAGCAAACTTTTTGGCCCAAGGGCCACATCTGGGTATAGAAATTGTATGGCGGGCCATGAATGCTCATGAAATTGGGGTGGGGGTGAGGGCTCTGGCTGGGGGTGCAGACTTTGGGGTGGGGCCAGAAATGAGTTTAGGTTGCGGGAGGGGGCTCTGGGCTGGGGGAGTGGGGTACAGGCTCCAGCTGGGGGCATGGGATGTAGGAGGGTGCTCTGAGCTGGGACCAAGGGGTTCAGAGGGTGGGAGGGGAGCAGGGCTGGGGTAGGGGTGCTGTGGGGTGGCTCAGGGGTGCAGGCTCCGGGCAGTGCTTATCTCAAGTGGCTCCTGGAAGCAGTGATATATCATTTCCCACCCTGGCTCTTATGCAGAGGTGAGGTCAGACATCTCTGCTGTTCCCGGCCAATGGGAGCTGCGGGGGTGGCGCTTGGAGCAGGGGCAGTGTGCAGAGTGGAGCCCCCTGGTTGCCCCAACATGTAGGAGCCAGAGGGGGGACATGCTGCTGCTTCCAGGAGCCGTCCAGAGTGGCCTCCGACCCTGCTCCCCAGCTGGAGCGCCAGAGTGGGGCAAGCCCCAGACTCCGCTCCCCAGCATGAGCTCGAGGGCCAGATTAAAAACAGCTGCCAGGCCAGATCCGGCCCACGGGCCGTAGTTTGCCCACCCCTGACCTAGAGCCACTATTTGTTCTGGAGCAGACAGCTTTAAGCCTTCCACTGAGATTCAAGACCTGTAGTTATCAAAGGTCAGTCTGGCAGATCCTTCTAAGGGCAGCCACTAAACATGCTATTCACTGTCAATAATCAATATCTTTGCTTTACAGCCTCACCACCACCTAGTGGTGAGGCTGCAAAGAAGTGTACGACTGTGCTCTATAAAGCACAGATCATCTCCTTTTCTCCAGACTGCCATGGAATGCTTAACAATATCCATCCTGTTCGCCTAATTACATATGCCCAATGTTCAGCAGCAACACGATTCAAGTCCTACCAGTAACAACATTCTGCTCTCATCTTCAACTCCCCCCGCCCCGGCCTCACATAAATTAATAAAGCTCTGGGGTGCCGAACAGAAAACAATACAGTGAAATGCAGGAATTAAGATGTAGAAGTAAATTGGCTAATCTGAACATGACATAAATGCATGTCTCTTTCCTTCATTTCTCTGGTGCGCTTCATTTCATACTAATTTTTTTAAGAAATACCGTTTTTCACCTTGGTTTTATGTGACAGAGCACATTCTTGTTTTATATGTTCTTCCTATATACCCCTTTTTAGATCTCCTAGTTTCCCACCTTCTTTGTGGCTACCTTCCCAAGTACATCCGAAATAGGGGCCCTGCCCAAAAAAGTATCAGTAACATCTAACTTGTGAATTTTCACATCTGGAGGGAAAGGTTGTGTATGTGTCCCTTGCTAAGTAGCAAAATAATCACACAATGGCACCAGACAGAATCCATAAAGTGGAATAGGAATGCGTCCAGTCCTCCCGCAGGATGCGTTTCTGAGTATACAAAGGCAAAGATGGCTTGGAAAGGGAAAAAGACACAGGCATCAGATTTCAATAGAAATGTAAGTGTTAGATACACTAAATCAAGTCATATGGCAACACCACCAGCTCTGCTACTAGTAATTAACGTGTCACTAATGCCACAGGGAGGGGTAGGGAGGAGGGTCCGACCGTGTATGGAGTTCATCCTTTATAACTATCAAGACACAGTAACAAAGAAAAATAAAATTTGCTTCAGAACAGCCTTGGCCAGAACTCCCCTCTTCCTCAGGGTCCTGTCTTTTTTCTAACAAAGAAACATCATGCATCTCAACCTGGTTGACACTGCTGGCCAACAAGCTCTGTCAACCACAGAGCAGAGCAGAATTCTGGCCTTACACTGCAGTATGAGTACTGCTAATGTGGTCCCCCTGAAAGACATCAGTAGGTCATAGTCCGGGGAAGATGCAGCTTTTCTATCAACGATTCAGACCATCTCCTATTGCCTGGTTTTCTCTCTTGCATCCACTCCCACTGTTCCTGCAGTAGGTCTTCCTCTGTCTTGTAACTTCAGGATGCAGGACAGTGAGATGGGGATTGGTTCACTATTCTGGAAGATTCTTCAGTTTACTCTGCCAATTGGCAAGGGCACTAGATCACCCATTTTCCCTCAGTTACAAGAATCCTACTTTGCCCTCAGATTTGTCCCCTCTGCACAGAAAGGCGCATCTGCCATCCAGTGTATCTCAGGCAAAGTCAAGCACAAAGAGATGCCATGTGTGAGCCCCTCTGCAAGAGTGCCACACGAAAAATTCTGCCTCTTCTAGATCCATGAGCAGCGCGTTCTAGGAAGCACAGTCTCCTCGAACAAGCCCATCAGCAGAAGCATTATTCCAAATAGCAACTCTAGCACCAGCTGCTGGAAACTTGGCCTCAACCTCAGTATGGAACCTGTGGCAGAGGAAACAGCACCTCAGCTGGAGTTCCCAGCAATTGCCCCAGAGCGCAGCTCCAGCACGAGTGTAACCATCTGTCAGCTACCTGCTCTTGCCGTTCCTCTCTACCAGCAGCAGGATATCTCAGCAGCAGGTCCAAGTGCTGTTTCAGAGACAGCCTTCCACAACAGAAACGCCTGCAAGATGGCTACTGAACATCATGGAGGGATCCAGCTGGCCTCCCAATGGCCAATGCCTCAGCCACCACAGCAGCTGACTGCAGAGTGCCAACAGCTACTCTTTGATCTCCCAAGTCACCCCAGAGAGAACTCTCCTGCAAAAGCAGTCCCCGGGCTATTGGCACTCAAACAGGCAACTGGGTCACTTTGCTTCCCCAGACCAGCCATTCCCTCTGTCCCCAACTTCTGGAGTAGACACTGCAGAGATATGCTCTTTGACCCAGCTATGCTCTGAAGATTTTGCCAAGTTCCTGTTGTCCCTCTCCACCTCAATTACCCGGCATGGAAAACACAACAAAATCCAACACAAAAGCTGAATCTTCCCACCAGGGCACTATGAAGACTATCCAAGAAAAGGCCAGCAAAAGTTGAGCACCTAATCCAGGAGGGGCCTTAGCAGCAGTGTTTACACTAGTTAGTTTTGTTGACCACACTCTGACTACTACTACGTTACTTAAATCAATTGAAAAACTGTTTTAATAGTCAACAGCAAAAACAGGTCCAGCCAAAGACTTGCACTACATTACAGCTTACCCCTGGGCTACCATTGGCACCAACACCAGTTCAGCTGCACAAATGGTAACACTGGTTTTTATTTGGTTTGTTTTTTTTAATTCCCTAGTGCAGACTCACTCTCACTAAGGCTTTCTCACTTGCCTCACTCAGAATCCCCGCCTGTCTGGTGCAAAGGCAGTGTGGCCTCCCCTGCTCAGCCACAAAAAAACCAGGGTAAGGATAAGCCACTCTTATCTGAATCTCTCAGTATGACCAGACCTCACTTATCCTTCCCTGTATAAAGGGTAAAATCCAGTGTCTTGGTGGTTAAAATTCAGAAGACAGGGAAAGTGCCTTAGGGTTGTAGGGACTCAAAATCTCATTCAAGTGCTAAAACACAAATCTTCACCTTCCTCTCTTGAGAAAGGCAAACGGCGCAATTCGGACCCAGCTTTATTTGGTTGTGTAACACAACAAGGCTAATCTAATGACATGGAGCTGTACCCAGTTTATGTTCTTCTTCACTTCTTTCTGAGATTCACTCTCCTGTACCAGGTTATGTGAAAGATTCCCAAAGGCTGGAATCCATACTAATGATGATCCTGTCCAGTTACCTCACTGTGGGTCTGAAACTGCTCTCGGTTGACCACAGAACTAGAAAAGAGAGGCCTTAAAAAGGGAGAGCTCTTTTTTCAGTGGAGGTGAACGTGACCTTTTGAGGGAAGGATAGCAGGAATCATGGAAGCAAGCACAGAGTCAGGAGATCTCCACATACCAGCACTGACCAGGCTTCCTAACACTGTGAAAGATAGGCTTGGTCTACATTGGGGTTGGGGGAGGTGGCGGGGAGAAAATCGATCTAAGTTACGCAACTTCAGCTACATGAATAATGTAGCTGAAGTTGATGTACTTAGATCTACTTACTGCAGTGACTTCACTGCGGTGGGTCAATTGCTGACTCTCCACCGACAACTCCACCTACGCTTCTTGCTCTGGTGGAGTACCGGAGTTGACAGGAGAGTGCTTGGCGGTTGATTTATCGCATCATCACTATACGTGATAAATCAACCCCCACTGGATCAATCGCTCCGGAGGTAAGTGTAGACATGCCGGTAGAGGCTCTTAGCAGACTTTCCCATAGTGTATAATATCCTTTATTTGGTTCTTCTTTGAAGAGAAGCCTGGCGCAGCGTGGTTTTGACCATGGTACATGATTCCAAAATGCTGGATTATTTGAGTTGGGGGTAAGCTTTTATTTTTGTTCTTATTTTTTAAATAGAATTCACCATGAATCCACAGACTTGGAGGAAGTGAGCCAAACCGGTGTTCTCTTCTTCCTCCTGTCTCAAAAGTGCGTTTTCATTACATTGTGACTAGAAACAGACAGGTAAATACCTTTCTCTGAGCGCTGCTATCAAAACCACACTTTTATGACTATCCTCACAGAGGCAATGAGGCTACTTTTACTGGAAAACAGGGGAACCACCGTCAGTGCAATGAGTGACTCTGCCTGTTTGCAAGTAAGGAATTGTAAAAGACTATCCTTTGGATTTCACTGCTGTAAGAACCGCCACTACAAGGATAGCGAGCCAGGCTACATAAGAGAGGAGGTAGAATTTGATATGTGGTGATTTTTCTTTTCCAAGTATCCAGGCTTCCTCTTCTGACCCACCCTGTGACTGAAAGTCCAAAGTTTTTTCAAATTCTCAGTAAGACAGAAGTCTGCCATGCTCTGGAGATGGAAGGGAGGCCAGGAACACTGGCTTATTACAGTTTCTATGCACTGTTTGAGAATTAAGACTCTTTTCAGATCTGGATGCAATATCACTGGGAAGACCAACGAACCCCACCACAGTGATTAAGGTCTCCTGAAACTACAAAGCAGATCAAATGCACTGTAGGAATAGCAAGTCTGGATACTCAGAAGAGAAATCATCAGGTAGCAAATTTTACTCCCTGCTGCTAAGGAAGAACTCCAGTGGTCGCATAGGTTTGATTCACTCAACTCCAGTTGCTGATAGAATCACTTGGGTATATATATTTTTTTCAAATGGCTACTCAGACTTGTTTGAGACACTGCTCCTATTTCACGTAGGCAGTATTCTACTTTGGAAGTCCATACTAGGCTGCATTTGAAGGAAAAATTCCTGCTAAAATATCCATTGAAGGCCTGAGCAAATAAGTTGAAATGGATGGTGGTGAAGCAGAGAGATAAATTATGACCAACACCTCTTAAAACATTAAGCCACTCCTAAAGAGAGATCTCAACCTCACTCACTATTCTTCAGTATTTTAGAACAAAGAACTTTGCACCGTGGTGCCAAAGAAGGGTCAGTAAAGAAAGGAAGCACTGGGTAGGTGAGATCTTGTGTGGATGTTACATCACATTCATTTTATTGGTTTACCTGTTTCCACTGAGGCATGGGAGCAAGGCGGCCTTGCTCTCGCTGTCTGCAGGATAGCTGGTTGTGAACACGTTCCTGATAAGGCAGGACAGGCTGTTACACATAGGTCATAGAGAAAGCAGGATGGGATCCCAGAGGAACAAAATAAAATACCGAAAGGCACTCAAAGAAAGCAACAAAGGAGTGGGGGGACATCAGACAGACAGACAGACAATTGGAAGAAAAAATGGGGGTGGGGAAGAATTAATTATCAAGTAAAATTTAAAGAAAAAATCAAGCAAAATAAAAATGGGATATATTAAGATTTTTGTAGCATCTCCCCCCAGGTTTTCAGTTTTTCTCCTGTTCAATATAGTGACAAAGGAAACATTATCTAACTGGGGAAGAACAAAGTAAAGGCCACCACTTAAACAGCTCTATCCTATGTCCAAGCAGGAAGTATCCCAGGGAATGAAACAGGAGGTCTGGCTGTAATGGCAACTCCCAGTTGATCAGGTCCAGGTTTTCCCAAGCAAAAAGCACTGGGTGGCATGGTTTAAGAGCAATGACCATGGGGAATCTCCATTCTATGGCCTTGCAGGACACATTGCAAGGAACAATCATTACAGAATTCACTGGGAAAAAGCTCAGTTCCTCCAGTCTCGTTCTCTTCAAGTTGAAAGCAGCATGGAAAATGGTGTATATATGGAGATGGGGGTAGTTTTATATTACAAAGCAGTACTGTCTTTCTGGAATTGGGAATCCAACAAACCATTCCCTACTGAAAACTCTTCTCAACCTCGGAGACAGAATAATAGCACAACAGGATGTGTTCTCCTTGTTTCAATTCATAAACACTAAATCCATGTAAGTGAGGGCCAGACTGGGGCTAAAATTAGCATGAAGGCCAGATTTTTGAAGATACTTAGGCTTTAAAGATGCAACAGGCACCTACTGTATTTTCAAAAGCAACTATCTCACATTGAAATCAATGGGAGACAGGCATTTGGGTGTCTATGAAAATCCCATTAGGTGCCTGTCTGCATTTTTAGGTGCCTAAATACCCTTAGAAATCTGTCTCTAAATGTCTTGGAGTCTTCCTCTTCCATCTAGCCTTTACTCTCAATTACAAGAGCGCACTCCGGGTGAAAGTGCAAAACCAGAGTTCAGTCTTAAAGAGTGCATCATTTTACTGTCCCAGCCTCTGTGATATTCCTCATCTTCTTCAAAACAAAAGGGTTCTACTACCCAAATTTGGGTGAGAGCTTGTTGGAGTAGGCCCAAGGATATAAAGGTATAAACCACCTCCTACCTGTCTCCGTAAGCCTGTGGACTGCACCGGTGCATTCTCCTCGAATTTGGCCAGCAGCTGGGTTGCCATGGACTTCACCTTGTTCTGGTTCCCGATGGCAGCATCAATTCTCCTCTCTGTCAGGGCGCTCACAAGTGTGGGCCTCTCCTCCCTATAGCTTCGGGGGGCTTCCTCCTAATAACCAGTATAAACTAAAGATTAAATAGAAACTTTCCAAATGGGTCTTTTCCTTTAAAGAAGGCTTCTGCAATTCAACAGAGCAGAACCCAAATCCATTAACCCACACTTCCAAGCTCATGTTCTTTCTTCTAGTCAGCCCTTCTGCTCACCAAATTCCTCTCCATCTACCTGCACCCTCTTGCTTCATATTTCATTGCTACACTGTACCACTGAGGAGACCCACAGTTGAGAAGCTCTCATGGGCCTGTGAACATAAGACAATGAGCTGCTTCAGGCACTCACTGAGAACCCCAGGTGGCAGCCCTCAGCTCAGCAGTTCCTATCTGGACACACGCACTCTTAACTGTAGGTGTTCCATCCGTGACATAGTACATGTGCCTTATACACTGACTCTGCAGCCAGCTTCATGCCCATGCAAATCCAAGTTCTACCTTTTACCTGGGTGGAATTGCTGACAGCCCCATACCAGCTTAGCATCTGACAATGCTACTCCTCAGCACCCCAACCAAAATGATTAGTGTGTGTTTCAAGAAAGCAGGATGAAAGGGATTTTCTGACAACATTAGCACATTGCAAACTTATTTATTTAGTAAGTCTCTGATGTAGCTGGCTCAGTACTTGACACAAAGTATAAGCTCTGAGCAGGAATTGATTTCAACCTAAAAAAATAAAAAATCTCACATAAGGTTCTGTTTGAGTGGAATATCTGGGGAGAAGATGGAACATCCAGGGAAAGAGCATGAAGAGAGGAACCTCCTAAAAATACAAGGAGTTGGGCGTGGAAATAGGGAATCTATCACACGCTCTTTCCCCCAGGCATTTTCTTTACTATAATACTTACGTCCTCTGACTGGCTGGTCTTTCTCCTCTTTCCTGCACCATCCAGTTCCTTCTCCTTTTTATCCTGCAATGGGAGAAAAACTAGATAGGGTGGATTTTTTTTAAACTCTTTGGCTCATAATGAATCCCATTAGTGCATTACACGAGCGTTTGAATTATTGCTGGAGGATTCTCTATGCTCATTTCCCATTTGTAGGAAAGGTGGTTCCCAGTAGTCTTTGGTCCTCATTTAGGGAGCCAAACCTTCTTATCTGAAATACAGCTTATCATTCTTGGAGCTTTTCAATGAGTCAACAGGAGAAACAGCAGGTATTTCACAGTACAAAAATACTTTGGACCTAAGCCAACTGAACAGAATAACCCTCATCCTATCACTAGGATAATCATACTTTCTATTTTTCACCCTTCTCCCCAACCCAAAGTCCCTGAGTAATACTGTAATGTTAAGAATATAGCGTTTCATTATATGAAAGCACCCATTCTGAATTTAGTGCTGCAATTAAAGGGCTCATGTACAATGAGATGTACAATGCCAGCAAGTCTAGAACCACTTTACTTACTCTCTCTCTCGCACGCTTCTTAGCGCTTATTTGGCTGTCAGCCTGCCAAATTCTAGTGCTCTCAGGGTTAAAGTATACATAGTAGGGTATGGCTACCTTTGGAGTTCGTTTTCGGGAGATGCTCTGCCCTAGTTTGCTAAGAAAAGAGATTGGAGACTTGGTACTGGCAATTAGAGCAGCTTTCTCTTCTGCGTTCAGATCCAGAGTCTCTGTGAACGGAAACAAGTGGAACCAGTGAACGCACAGAAACCTCTGTGTAGTTATTAACAATAGTCAAGAAACAATTAAGAAGGAACTCATTCATTCTTTAGCATGAACTGGGTTGTTTTTTTTTTGTTTTTTGTTTTTAACACTCTCCATATAAAATGCTGTTAGGAATTTCAAAATCAATATTTTTCTGAATAGTTTTGCCCTTTCCACTTGGCAAATGCATTTTTTTCCTCCCAGGTTTTCTAAGTACGCAAAATAGTTTTAGAGTTTAAGTAGGTCAAATTCAGACTTAAGCTACATGACTGCATCTTTCCGTTCTAGTTAACAAAAATACGACCTTTCAGGCCTTCTTTCCACTAACCTGGAGTTATATACAAAGTCCAGGCATTGTAACAATAAATATAAAGCTCTGTCAGAGCTTCTAAAATTAACTACTAAATGACTGCTGGCTAGGACCTTCACACTAGCAACGACAGAGCAACCCTCAGCAGGAGCAAGAGAGCAAGGAAGTTGTTTAATAATTATGAAGTGAGTTTAGTACCAGTGAAAGATGCTGGACTGATAGTCCGAGGCTGAAGCCCTGTTCATCCACCTACCAGGCACAACAAAAGCAGCACCCGTGCAAGCTTTTTACACACAGACCTGTTGTCTGCCTTTTCATGGGTGAGATGATAGCTCAGTTTGTGCTTATTAAACCTTTGCACTGGTTCCTAATGCTGCTAGAAGGGTGCCTGTTAGCACCAAGGAAGACAGCAATTTTTATGGTGGCCTCAAAAAGGGTACGTCTACACTGCAGCTGGTCGCCCAGGTAGCCAGAATCCATTAATGCTAGCGCGCTATAAAGAACAGAGCGGAGGTTGTGATATGGGCGATAGCTCAGGTTAGCCATCTGAGCTTGGAGCCAGGGGGTCGAGTGGGCTTCGACTTGGGTGGCTAGCCCGAGCCACCATCTGTGCCACATCATCTGCATTGCTATTCTTAGCATGCTAGCTCAAGTGGAGACAGCATGAGTTTGTCTATCCAGGCTGGGAGGCACAGTCCCAGCTGCAGTGTAGACATACCCAGAGTAACTAACATGAGTTCTTGTAGGAGGAAAGCAGACTAGGAGAGGTTACTCACTTTGTGCAGTAACTGAGGATTTTTGAGATGCATGTCTCTATGAATGCTCCACTTAAAGTGCGGATGTGCCCCATGCACCTTCGACTGGAGATTTTTAGCAGCAGTGCTTGTTTGGTCCAGGCATGTGCCTTAGCTATCCTCATGCTCCATACCAGGGACATATAGGGCTGTGATGGACAAACCACTCTCAATTCCTTCTCTACCACTCAGTCCCATGAAAACAGGACTCCAAAGCAGAGGGAAAGGACGACGGATAGTGGAGCACCCACGGGGACACGTCTTGATGAACCTCCTTCTTTGAGTAGTGTCCATATGGGTGCTTTGCTTGAGGCGACTACCCTCTGAAGGATGTGGGATCTTCAGAATCCAGTCTGGAACTGTTTGCAGAACTGAAGGTAGTGCATGTCTCTGGAACACATGCTAAGGCACAGTGTCTTGAAAAAGTGTGAATTGAAGCCCATGTAGCAACTTTGCAGATTTCCGTTACTGGAACTTCTTTCAGTAGGGCAACAGATGTGGAGTGAGAGCTGGTAGAATGAGCTATGACCCTAGGAGGGCACAGCACACTACAAGCTGCAGAGCAGGAGAGGATGCAATCCAAAACCCACTTAGAAAGTCTCTGGGTAGACAGTAGTGTTCCTTTACTCTGTCCACAATAGACACAAATAGCCTCAGAGAAACAAAAAATTTAGTCCTGTCCAAATAATATGCTAGTACTCTCCTAACATCCAGGGGGTGAGGGGCAAAATCTTCCCTAGTCTGATGAGATTTTGGGTAGAAAGCCAGCACATGAATTGTGCGATTGATATCAAGGTCCAAGACAACTATGGATAAGAACTGCAGGTGTGGTTAGAAGGATACCTTATCCCTAAAGAAAGCAGTTGTGTGTGGAAGAGGGTCAACCATTAAATCCCCTAATTCACCAACTCTTCTAGAAGAGGTAATTGCCACTAAAAAGGTGGTTTTCATGGAAAGGTATAAAAGGGTACAAGTAGGTAGTGGATCAAAGAGAGGTTTCATCAGCGAATTAAGAACTAGATTCAAGTCCCAAGTTGGACTGGGCTCTCAAACATTTGGGAAGAGTTTGAATAACTCACTGATGAATCTGGAAGTTGCAGTGTCAGCAAGTACTGAGAAACCTTCCAGAGGAGAATACAATGCTGTGACAGCTGCCAGGTGAACATTGATGGAGCTCAAAAAAAAAAAAAAAAAAAAAAAAGACCTCTTTGCTTCAGAGTGAAAAGGTATTCTAGAACCTCTGAAATAGTAGAGTTAACACAAGAGAGCAGACAGCAAATACACCAACGGTAATATCTTCTCCATTTCTGAAGGTAAGTGTTCCTGGTGATTTCCTTTCTACTGTTCAATAGGACTTCTTGAACCACTCTGGAACAGGAGAGTTCTAACTCTGAGAGCCATCCAGGAACCTGTCCCCGAGTCACTGAGAATGTTCAAGTTGTGAGGGACAAACGTTCCTCAAATCCTGAGTGAAAAGGTAGGGTGTGAGCAGTAGATTGATGGTCAGTTGGAAAGAGAGGTAAAGTAGGTAAGGAAACCCCACCTGTCCTGGCCAGATAGGTGTGATCAAGATTACCGTGGCTATGTCCTGTCTGATCTTGTTTAGAATTCTGAGAATTAGCAGCATTAGAATGAAGGTATATAGAAGACTTCTCGGCTGAGAGAGGAGAAAGTTGTCTTCCAGATAATGGCAAGCAAACAAAACCTCCATTAGAGCAGAACTCTGCATGTTTCTGGTTGACAGTGATGGCAAAAAGGTCTACGTGACAGTGGAAGGAGGATGGTTGAAAGGAACCTCTGAGCACACTGTCTGGATTCTTCCATTAGTTGAGAGAGATTAGTACACGACTGGGAATAGACAGTAATTTGTTCAGACCATCTCTGTTGCAGGTATAAAAACTGTCCTGAGCCAGGCTTAGAAGCAGTGTGGTTGTAAAAGGGGGTGTAACGTGATGAAGGTACATGGTGCCATGTGCCCAAAGAACTGCAGGCATGATCTGGTGGTAGCCTGTGGGACCACTTGAAGTTGTGCAATTAAATGCATCAGACTAAGAAATCTGCTTCCTGGCAGGTAGGATCTGGATGCCATGGCACTGAGAGTGGCCTCTATAAACTCCATCTGCTGTAGAGGTAGGAGACAAAACTTTGCAGTATTGAGCTGAAGGCTGAGTATGTGAAAGAGACATAGCCCCCTTGTCACTGTTTGAATTTCCATGTAGAAATGCCGTTTTAAAAGCCAATTGTCCAGGTACGGGAAGACAATTACTCCCCATTAGTGAAGCTGTATGGCAACTAGCTACCAACAGAACTTCTGTCAACTCTCTACAGGAGTGAAGGCCTCTGTACTGATAATGGTCCTGATATATGACAAATCATAGGCATCTCTTGCGAGGGGGACACATTGTGACATGAAGGTATGTATCTTGAAGGTCAAGGTTGCAAAATATTCTCCTGGCTCCAGGGATGGAACAATAGCTGCGAGCATTACCATCTTGAATTTCTGTATCTTGACAAAGGTATTCAGCATCTTGAGATCTATAATTGGCCTCCACTTGTCCTTCTTTTTGGGAATGAGGAAGTACTTGAAGTAAAATCCGCTTCCTCTGTACTGAGTGGGAACTGGTTCCATGGGTCCTAAGTGGAGGGGGAGAGAGCCTTTTGTCTTAAGAGCAGCTTGTGAGATGCACCCTGAAAAGAGATGGAAAAGGAGGGTGGTTGGGAGATATGGAGTGAAAATGGATCAAGTAGCCAATGTAAACCTCCAAGACTCATCTGTCAAAGGTAATCTGCTCCCATGAGCTGCAGAAATGGAAGAGATGATCCCCCAAAATTGGGAGGATGCAGTGGGCAGGGTGGTACAACATCAGATACAGATCATAGGGGCATAGGTGGCTCTTGACCGAGGCATCAAAACAAACACTTTGTAGATGACGTCTGCTGTGTTGATCCAGGTGCAGTGATGGAGAACTTTCCTCTCTGCATTCTGAGTTACTTTTTAAGTGGCTGCAATGCTCTATGGTAGGTGGGAAACTGGGCTGGGCAGGATCTCTGAGTTTGAGAGAGACTAAATCTCTGCTTATTTGTAGGAGTACACACTCCCAGCGAACAAAGGATTGCCCTGGCGTCCTTCAGCGAATATAGGGAGCCAGCAGTGGATTCGCTGAATAATCTGAGACCGAAGGGTAGGTCCTTTATGTGTTCTGGACTTTGTGCGGAAAACCTATGGACTGTACCCACAGGGCTCAATGCATGACTACAACTGTGGAGACAGAGCAGGCTGCTGTGTCAAAAGGATTAGCAGAAGTTTGCAAAGTTGTCCTTGCAAGAAGCTGTCCCTCTGCAATAAGGGCCTGAAATTGTTCCTTCTGCTCTTGTGGGAGGTGTTCAATAAAGAATTAAATTTTAAACAGTTAATATGATTATGGTGCCAGAATCACCTGGTAATTAGCAATTCTGAATTGCAAGGTGGCAAATAAGTGTCTTTTGACCAAAAAGATCCAAGAGCTTTTGGTCTTTATCAAGTGGTGTAGTCTTGGAATGGTATTGTCTGTTGTGTACATTTACTGTATCCATAACTAGGGAGTTGGGGCAGGATGGGAAAATAATAATTCTGAATCTCTAGCTGTAATGTACTACTTTGTGTCTGCCCTCTTAGCTTGGCTGTGGTGGGGATCTGCCAATTGGCCTTGGCAGTTCCTAACGAGGTCCTAACTACCTGTACTGAAGATGTTGTGTGAAGAATGTCCAGCAACTTATGCTGAGTCTCTTGGACTTCTTCCAATGGGATATGAAGAGTGCCTGCCACACTCTTCATCAAATCCTGAAATTGTTTGAAGTCATCTACCATAAATGGAGAGGGCAAAACAACAACTTCATCCAGGAAGGAGGAGGAAATATTTGTCTGTGGGGTAGCCTGCTCATTAGCTCTCCTTTCTTGCTCCTCAAATATCTCATCCTGCGTGGGGATTGCTGTGGGGGAATGGACAGAATCTGACAGTGCTGATGCTGCCATTCCCCTGATTACACCAAGGAGGGTGCTGACAGGCCGAGATCATTACAGCCTTGATGTATCCCTTGATGGAGCAGGTTCAGGAGACGGTGGTCTAGGCAGGTAATTAGGAGAGTCCTGAACAGAAATGTAAGAGCCTGAAGAGCTCTTATCTGCATAATCAAATGGAGGAGTAGATGAAAGAGTTGTAAATTTGTCTCGCTGTAAGCATGGGCACCAGGGAATCAGGCAGTACCAGTGATAGCAAAGTACCAGAGACAGCAGAGGTTGTGGTATTTGGGGTCTGACTAAGCTCAATAAAGGAGACTCCAGTTGATTGAAGACAAACAAATCCCTGGAAAACCTGAACTTCTGTGGTACTGGGTGCAGTTGTGTGGGAACCTGGTGGGCTGCAGACACAGAGGCCTTCAGTACCAAGGAAGGTGCACGAGGCACCAACATGCTGAACCGTCAGTTGAGGTATCAAAGATGCTGTCAATGCTGCAGAAGGTAATGAATTCTTTAGTGCAGTTTCCCTGGAATCTTTAACAGCTTGTTCATGTTTCGATGGTACCAAAAGCTTCAGTACTGATCGGTAGATACCATGTGATTTAGACAAGCTTGAGGACTGATTTTTAGAGCTCTTGGTACTGAGACTGCTTGAAGCCTTCACAGAAATCTTTGAAGGGTGCAGAGTCTTTGATACAGCATCTCTTAAAAGTGGATCTCTTAAAAGTATATTCTTTCTGAGTAGACTTAGAACTCCTCTTGGTGGAAATCTTTTCCATGCTGCTTGCAAGTCTCCCTGAGGCTGATGGGGCACTATGGCTATTTGGAGGCTGCTGTACGAGGTGGGGGTCTCTGGGCCTGGATCCAAAGCTGGACAAAAGGAGTACTTCATCATAAGGAAACAAAGTTTAATCTCCCTATCTCTCAGGGTGGCCCTTAAAACTCATACAGATTTTGCACTTTGAGGGCACGCGCCCTGAGGCAGTGGGTACAGCAGGAATGGCTGTCATTAACTGGGAAGGACTCCTGGCAAGTGAGACATTTGAAGCCTGGGAACGTAGATAAAAACACCAGTCTTCTTCAAAACGGAGAAGTGGGGGGGGATTACCCTACACAGAGGGTGGGGGTGGAGGTAGGAGGCAAAAGCCTCAGCCAAACAGGAAAAAGGAATTCTCCCCCCCCCCCCCCCAAAAAAAAAAAACCATACCAACTAAATAAAGAATTAGAAAAACAGCAACTACAATTAGAAAAATAAAAGATTAAATAGTCACGAGTAAGCCTACGTTTTAGTCACGGGTATTTTTAATTAAGGTCACGGACAGGACACGGGCAATAAACAAAAATTTACTATACACCCCTAACTAAAACTTGGGTGGGGGCGCCACGGGTACTGGGGAGGGGGCAGTGGTGCACAGCCAGGGACCCCCGTTGGTGCTGGGGAGGGGCGGGGGGTTGGCAGACTCCCTACCCACCTCCGCGTGTTGCTGCAGCTCCTAGACAGCGGAGGGGCCAGGAAGCTCCGTGCACTGCTCCCTCCACAAATGCTGGCTGCACAGCTCCCATTGGCTGGGAACCAGAGCTCCCAGGTCCCTCCACCTAGGAGAAGCTTCAGGGCCATGCTAGGGATCCCCACCCCAGCCTGAGCCCTCTCCCACACACCCAAACTGCTGCTGCTGACCCAGGGCCTGCCCGGCTCGGGCAGCTGCTGAGCCACCACCAGCCACTGCAGAAGTCATGGAATCAGTGACTTCCGTGACAGACTCACAGCCTTAGTCATGAGTAGGCAGATAACCGTGAGCATTACGAACACTCCGTCTCTGGCCAATGTGGTTGAGAAAGAACTGAGAATGCTTTGTCTGTTGCAACTCTTGGTGTGAGGCATGAGTGTAGCTAGGGTGCATGTCTAGACCAAATGAGCACTGCTGCCAAAAGTCTTCAATTGAAAGCACATGCGCACTGGAAGTGGACATCGTGGTAGGGACACAATGCACAGAAGAACATGAATACTGCCACCATCACCAAATCTAACACACTTGTTCCAAGTCCCTTACCACTGGAAGGAATGGAATCCTTGAACATCTCATAGAACTGTGTGAGGTACATCACCATGGACAACTTGTCTGGCTCCCCAACAGATGCCATGTCCTTTCCAGTCATGATAGGAGAGATTCCAAACTCCTTTTCAGCAATGTCAAATGCCAGCTGGTTATTCTTCTCCACATTACGTTCATCCAGAGAATCAAAGTCTCTACAAGGGGGAGAAGAGAAAAGCATTGAGGTAAGCAAGGGCAGTCTTCTAAAAATATTTTCAGAGACAGTCCTCTCCAGCGGCAACATTGAAACTGCAGAGTGCCCCCCTTCTTTCAATAATTCTGCCATCATACTTTTCATGTTACAGTGATTATGTTACTCTGCCTGTTAATGATGAACTGTGAAACAGATGCATTGTTTTGTCCATTCACTGCCCTGCCTTATTATCTCTAAAGATGACCTAAACTTCTCTTCATAGAGGATTTTTTTGCTTTTATTATTATTACATCTTCACTTCCCTCTTTGCTGCAGTATTCTCCGAAGAGGCAGACTCTCGTTCCCCTGTTACTTGGAAGCACATCAAGTTGTCCTTCAGATCACCATTTCTCTTGATTGATCCATATACAGATCTCACATCTTTCCCTCTCCAGTGCGATTTTCCTACACTTTTACAATAGTCAATGCTGTACTTCCACTTCTGCCCAATTTGTAAGGCTTTTTAAACATGGTGCCTCAGACTGAGTATAGAATTCTAACCAGCGACCCACAGAATGGAATGTTTACATAGTTACTTTGCTTGCTTTACATTTCTTTTAAATACACCTTCAGCATGTTGCATTACAGTATTTATCTTTAATAATGTCCCATGGCAAACCTGAAATCATTTTAGACTTTCATTATAATAATATCACCTACCTTTTATATAGCACTTTTCATGAATAGATCTCCAAGCCCTTTACAAAGGAGGCCCGTATCATAATCCCCTATTTACGGATGGGGAAACTGAGGCAGAGGGAGGGGAAGTGACTTGCCCAAAGCCACCCAGCAGTCCAGTAGCAGAGCAGAGCAGAACCCAGGTCTCCTGAATCACAGTCCAGCACTCCACCCACTAGGCCACAGTCTTCACTTTGGAACTTCTGCCTTGCCAATATTTTCCCATTCTAGGATTTGTGCACTTTTTTATATTGCTCTCCACACTACTAGCTGGAATGGCTTCTCCTACTTATTCACAGAACAGGTTACTGCACAAGCAGCAGGAGTACAATCTTCCCTACACTGTGTCTATTTAGACCAGGAGACCCCTCCTCTCGGATTGAAAATTTAAAAGCCATCTGAAGAAGCTACTAACAAGGGGGCTATTTATAAAGGCGATGTGGACATTTGTCTGCCATGAATTAGAAATAGTTGATGGCTTCAGTTTAACTAATTGCACATAGACAGTAATGAGTTTTAGTCACTAACAACTTGGAACAGATAGAAGATAAAATTATGGTGCATGTAGCCTGGTACTCACCAAGCCATTATAACCCTCTCCCCCACAGGTGAATTGCTCTAGACTTTACTGAATCTAGTTTAATTGACTTCAGTCCTTTTCCCCAGATATCACAACTGTACTGTATTTTAACACTATTCTCTAAACAATTTGCAAACCCCTCCTCATATATTGGTTGCTAATCTGACTAACAGTCTCTCCAGTCACTGTGTTCTCGTCAAGCAATCAATCACTTACATCAAGTCAGGACGGTATCTGTGGATAATAGCACACAAGGCTAGGCCACTCTTCCATGACATTGTGAGATCTGTTACATTCACACCAGCATACCCATCAGTCTGCCTTTGGCACCAACCAAGCAATTTACTGGAACGAGCTACAGACTCTGAAACAAACATAACATTTTTAGTCAACTGTAATGTATTAATCTTTCACTCATGAGAATTCCAAGTACATCTCAAGAAGTATATATTTATAGGGATCACTCACCCATTGAAATGCAGCCACCTCTGGGGTGAAACAGCATGTTTTCTGCATCAGGAACACTATACAACAGTTTTTTTGGGGGAGGAAGTGACTAATAATGCGATACATAGTTCACACTGGAGGGAGAATTTTAGTTTGCTAAAAAATAATTACCCAAGCTGTAATTTGGACAGATCACCCTGGCTCTTGTGAATATCCCAGGAAATTTTAAATGACCAAAAGTGGTCAAGGTCTTGATTTAAGTCAGATCCAAAAAGATAGCATTCCTTGTAGCACAGTGCTCCCTAATCCCCTGGTATATTGTTTCAGATAGAAGAACTCTCAACACCTTTCTGCAACAGTTGCATTTACTTTGAAGGTCTTCCATCAAATCACTGACCATCCTGACCTTGTTTAGCTATGAGATGTGACAAGATTATAGCCAAGGGTGGCATCATTGCAGGCCAAAGAACAAATCAGAAGACTCTACGCAACTGTACACCAGTGGGAGGAAGGTACAGTAACAAAACAGGCAGACTTGAATGAAACAGTATTCCAAGAGACACCAAAAACACCACTCAGACATCCAAAGGCGTTATATGGCTGGGAAAGGTTCAGCAAACCTTGGGTTATGGTTTGACCAGACAACTATTCCAATTCTTAGTGTAAGGCATTTAATTCCTAGAATACATGCCGTGCACTGGCTCAGTAATTAGACTCCATAATGCTAAGATAGGGGACCCTATAGCAGTGGTTCCCTTACGACAAGTAGAGCTGCTATATTACGAGGAAAATTCAAGTAAAGTAATTGATTTATTTAGTCAAACTAAGAGATAAGATTTCAAAAAGGAGAAAGCTTGAGTGTGGATGGGAATCTACAAAAAAAGACTTCTCTTTTTCCCGTTCATTTTCTACTTTTCCATTATTATTTTTATCTGTACTTAAGAGTTTTTGGCTTCACTGCCAAATCAAGTAGAGGGCTGGTTTTTCACACTTGAAATAAGGACTCCACTACAGGATCAAGGAGGTGACCAAAAATCCTTTTGGAAACAAATGTTTAGAAATCTGGAAGTACACTGTAATAAGGGAAATTGAGGTAAAGCTAACATGTTTAAGTTTAATTATGTTTGAAAGTTTAATTGCATTTGAAAAGTCAAGCTTCTGAGCCAAGAATTAATGAGACACTTTTCGAAACAGAAGGGGACCTCTCTGTACATCTGATGCACTGACCCAGCTCTGGAAGAGCACAACAAAGTGAAAAGCTGGGACTCACCATTCCGGGTCAGCTTTGGTGTCCTGGAGTTCACCAAGTTCTCTATTTCAAGGTGAATGTCTTTCAGGTCTCCTGTATCATACAAGTGGCGCACCTGTAAGAATGCAAAGGGTTGAAAATGGCCAAAAAGAATAGTCTCTCTCATCAAAAGCCAATATGGCAGGAGAAGTCTCCTCAGGCCAGAACTACTGCCCTGGCACACTAAACTCCCTTTCTAAAAACAAGCCACATGCACATACAAGGAACATGGCCCCCTTAAGCCAAGAAGGGGATGATTATATAAAAAGTTATTTTATGACATGTTCGTAGGGTGACCAGATGTCCCGATTTTATAGGGACAGTCCTGATATTTTTCTTACATAGGCTCCTAGTACCCCCACCCCCGTCCCAATTTTTCATACTTGCTATCTGGTCACCTACACGTTTCGCACAGTAGACAATTCCCAAAAACCACAGAACCCCAAGCAACAGCTCTTAATATACATCCAGTGGCTGCACGTTGGTGCCTATACTGAGATAGAGGCTAAATTATTATAAAGGAAATACAAAAAATATATTGTCAGCATGGCTGAAACTGCCAAAATTCAGAGAAGTTCAGAGCTACAACTGACATGATTGTGAACAGTGTTTAGAGACTTCTACAATATCTAGTCAAAAGGGACATGGGTACAGTACAGTGGTTTAAGCCTGATGGATATTTCTGGTTTTTGCCACTGTCAATTCCCTAAATACTCAGAGGCATGGGGTTCTCAACCTTTTTTGAATCAAATCCCCCCCTTAACCTTTTTTTTTTTAAAAAAAAACTTGGATTCCCTGTCCTCTCCCACCCCCTGGTCCCCTTTAAAATAGAGAGAAGGATTCTGCCACCTAGCCAGAGACGTTTGAGAGTGTGCCCACCCTTCACTCAACTTGGACAGTGGCTCGTGTCCCAGGGACTGGGCCTGGTAGGGTGCTGCCTGGCACTATGAGCGCAAGCCAATCCAGCACTCACCTGGAGTGCAGGCAGGGAACAGTTCCTGGCACTGGAGGGCGGGGAAGGGTAGGGTGCCCTCTAGCACTATGCATGCACACAGCATACAGGACACTGGAGTGCAGGGTAGGGTGATGCCTGGCACTATGAGCATAGGCAGCATAGAGGGCACTGAGATGCAAGCAATGGTGGCTCCTGTCCCACAGGGCAGGGCCTGGCTCTATCCTGGCCCAGTGTGGAGGGGGAGAGCGGAAGGTGTTGGAGAGCAAGCCCACCACACACCCACCCTAGTCAGCAGCTCTTGTCATGCGGGCCTGGGCTCAGCTTCCTGCTCTGGCCTGCTCACTCTCACTGTTCGGAGGAGCTCCCCACAGCATGATGTGTGCATCTGTGCGCAGGTGAGGCCTTCTCTCCACCAAACACTACCCCCTTCCGGCCATGGCAATGCCACTTGCTCAAGTTCGGCCTAGCCACCCTTCCATCATGACAGAGCAGTGGGGGGCCAAATGTGAGTGAGTGGCATTGCAACCTGGCATTTGTTTATGGCTCGCTGTGCTGTCCCCCCCACCCCTAGTTGAGAACCTCTAATACAGACCAATGGCTACATGAAGAGGACACAGATCCCATGCTGTCGAAGGAATTGCCAGCCAGTTACCTGGTTTGGCCGCAGGAAGTTGACGTTGATATTGGGATACCGGGTGACAGGATCGATGCTGTACTGGCTGAAGTTTTTACTCACATTCTCAGGGGTGGTCTGAGGCAGCAGCCTGTAAATGCTTTCCCTGAGGGAAAAATACTAATGTCATAAGAGCAAGTAGGAGAAAGAGATACATCACCACTACCACCACCTTCAAAGTCAAGGCCCTCATGAACTCTGAGGTTAGGTTCCAGAGTAGCAGCCATGTTAGTCTGTATTCGCAAAAAGAACAGGAGGACTTGTGGCACCTTAGAGACGAACAAATTTATTTGAGCATAAGCTTTCGTGAGCTACAGCTCACTTCATCGGATGCATTGAAGTAGCTCACGAAAGCTTATGCTCAAATTTGTTCGTCTCTAAGGTGCCAAAAGTACTCTTTTTCTTTCTGAGGGTTAGAACACTCAAATTCGCAAACCTACCCCTTCAGATATGAAACAAAATTCAGTACTTAAGCATCTAAACCATTTATATTTTAATTCAGCAGGAATCAGGAAGGTGGGAAGAATAGAATGAGACGGACAATACTGAAAATATACTGCCATTATATAAATCAATAGTATGCCTTCGCCTGGAATTCTGTTTTCAGTTCTGATCACCCCATCTCAAAAGAGACAATAGAAATAAAGGACAGGTTTCAGAGTAGCAGCTGCGTTAGTCTGTATTCGCAAAAAGAAAAGGAGAACTTGTGGCACCTTAGAGACAAACAAATTTATTTGAGCATAAGCTTTTGTGAGCTACAGCTCACTTCATTGGATGCATTCAGTGGAAAATACAGTGGGGAGATTTATATACATAGAGAACATGAAACAATGGGTGTTACCATACACACTGTAACGAGAGTGATCACTTAAGGTGAGCTATTACCAGCAGGGGGGGCCCGGGGGGAGAGAGAAAAACCTTTTGTAGTGATAATGAAGGTGGGCCATTTCCAGCAGTTGACAAGAATGTCTGAGGAACAATAGGGGGTGGGGGAATAAACATGGGGAAATAGTTTTACTTTGCATAATGACCAATCCACTCCCAGTCTCTTTTCAACTTCAGGAGAAGTTAATTGTACCCCGTTTGCAAATTAATTCCAATTCAGCAGTCTCTCGTTGGAGTCTGTTTTTGAAGTTTTTTTGTTGAAGAATTGCAACTTTTAGGTCTGTAATCGAGTGACCAAAGAGATTGAAGTGTTCTCCATCTGTTTTTTGAATGTTATAATTCTTGACATCTGATTTGTGTCCATTTATTCTTTTACGTAGAGACTGTCCAGTTTGACCAATGTACACGGCAGAGGGGCATTGCTGGCACATGATGGCATATATCACATTGATATATCCGCAGGTGAACGAACCTCTGATAGTGTGGCTGATGTGATTAGGCCCTATGATGGTGTCCCCTGAATAGATATGTGGACACAGTTGGCAACGGGCTTTGTTGCAAGGATAGGTTCCTGGGTTAGTGGTTCTGTTGCGTGGTGTGTGGTTACTGGTGAGTATTTGCTTCAGGTTGGGGTTCACCACCCTATACTGGAAACCTATGTGACCATCACTTATTAGCACGATAGTGTCCAGGAAGTGGATGACATCTTGTGCTACATTGAGGACATCTTCATCATCTGGACCCATGGAAAAGAAGCCCTTGAGGAATTCCACCATGATTTCAACAACTTCCATCCCACCATCAACCTCAGCCTGGACCCGTCCACACAAGAGATCCACCCTATACTGGAAACCTACTGACCGCTATGCCTACCTACATGCCTCCAGCTTTCATCCAGACCACACCACACGATCCATTGTCTACAGCCAAGCTCTACGATACAACCGCATTTGCTCCAACCCCTCAGACAGAGACAAACACCGACAAGATCTCTATCAAGCATTCTTACAACTACAATACCCACCTGCTGAAGTGAAGAAACAGACTGACAGAGCCCGAAGAGTACCCAGAAGTCACCTACTACAGGACAGGCCCAACAAAGAAAATAACAGAACGCCACAGCCGTCACCTTCAGCCCCCAACTAAAACCTCTCCGATGCATCATCAAGGATCTACAACCTATCCTGAAGGACGACCCATCACTTTCACAGATCTTGGGAGACAGCCCCCCAACCTGAAGCAAATACTCACCAGCAACCACACACCACACAACAGAATCACTAACCCAGGAACCTATCCTTGCAACAAGGCACGTTGCCAACTGTGTCCACATATCTATTCAGAGGACACCATCATAGGGCCTAATCACAACAGCCACACTATCAGAGGCTCGTTCACCTGCACATCTACCAATGTGATATATGCCATCATGTGCCAGCAATGCCCCTCTGCCATGTACACTGGCCAAACCAGACAGTCTCTACGTAAAAGAATAAATGGACACAAATCGGACGTCAAGAATTATAACATTCAAAAACCAGTTGGAGAACACTTCGATCTCTTTGGTCACTCGATTACAGACCTAAAAGTTGCAATTCAACAAAAAACTTCAAAAACAGACTCCAACGAGAGACTGCTGAATTGGAATTAATTTGCAAACTGGATACAATTAACTTAGGCTTGAATAGACACTGGGAGTGGATGGGTCATTACACAAAGTAAAACTATTTCCCCATGTTTATTCCCCCACCCCTACCGGTATGGTAACACCCATTGTTTCATGTTGTCTATGTATATAAATCTCCCCACTGTATTTTCCATTGAATGCATCCAATGAAGTGAGCTGTGCTTATGCTCAAATAAATTTGTTTGTCTCTAAGGTACCACAAGTACTCCTTTTCTTTTTAATAGATAGAAGTAGTCCAGAAACAGACAAAAAAAATTATTAAATGCAAGGAGAGAATTCCGTATAAGTGCTAGGAATGATTGGGACATGATAGAGAGGAGACTTGACAAAGGCATACAAAATAATAAATAATATGGACAAGTTAAATCATATGCTCCTATTTAATCTCTTGTAAGAAAGAACAAGATGACAGAATAAAATAAAAGCAGACAAAATTAAAACTGAAAATGAAATTTTTTCCTCAGTGCATAATTAACTTGTGGAACTCACTGACACAAGGTGGTATTGATGTCAAGAGGTTAATTGTAATAAAAAAGTATTAAATATTTAATATGGATCATGAGAGCTTCTACAATTATATCAGATAGGATAAAAATATTAAGAATATAAACCTGTGTGAAAGATGGCATAAGCCAGCCTCTAACTGTAAGGGGTTACTAAGAAGCTTGTCCTGTGGATATGATGATATTCTATAACAAGGGTCAGCAAACTTCGGCACGCAGCCCATCGGGTAATCAGCTGGCGGGCCACCAGACATTTTGTTTACATTGACTGTCCACAGGCACGGCCACCTGCAGCTCCCAGGGGCCGCAGTTGGCTGTTCCCAGCCAATGGGAACTGCAGGAAGTGGTGCGGGCTGCAGGGACGTGCTGGCTGTCGCTTCCTGCAGTTCCCATTGGTTGGGAACGGTGAACCGCGGCCACTGAGAGCTGTGCAGGGGGCGGGAGGGCAGTGCCTGCAGACGGTCAACGTAAACAAAATGTCTCGCAGCCCGCCAGCGGATTACCCTGATGGGTCATGTGTTGAAAGCTGCCGACCCGTTCTATAATCATCCAGGATTTCTTTCAATTGGTTCTTGCCAATGTCAGACACAACACTAAATTAGAGGGACCCACAGTGGACAAAATTCATGAGTTAATACACATGTTGCTAGTTTGGGAATTTCTTTCCATTTTATAGTCAAATTGTTAAAGTGGATATTTTGCACTTATTCCTTTAATTAGTTTCCTAATTAATTTCCTATTAATTGTTAGTAGAAATTCAGATTTAACAGAGGTTTTTCTACTAAATTTCATTTTTAAAACACTCATCTATGATGAAGACAAGTTCAGGGCCTCATTAACATCCTTACTGTGAGAACAGCACAAACTCAAGCACAAAATTGATAAGCTATATGCACAATCAACACCGCCATCTGAAATACCAAACTTCCACCCGTCAAGGAAGCTGAAATGGTTTGACCAAGCTGAACTCCTAAATTGGGACCCTAAAGTCCTGTGTGTATTAAAAAAGAAGTTCAAAATAATTTTGGATTGAAAGTCTATGGAATTTTTCATGGTCAAAATCAAAGCAATCTTTGAAGAAACTTTAATGACACTAACTCTTTCTTAATAAAGATAAAATTTTGGCCTCTGATACTACAAGCACTTACTCACATCATTAATTTTAACAACACGTGCATAAAGTTATGTACCTCTTTAAGTGATGTACCTCAACATAGCAGTTTTTTAAAAATTCAAATAAGATACCCTACCAACAGTGGAATTTTAAAAATGCTATAGTGATATTTAAAACCTCCAGCATTTATAATTTAGTTCATTATAAATTTTAATCTAACCAAGCAATTGCACAAGTTTTCAAATTAGTGTTACAATGCCTGAGCTTGATTTAAATCAGTGAGTTTTAGAGGGGTTTAGTTATTTTTTATTTTATTTTATTTTTTTTAAAGAAAATCCAGTGATTTAAGTTATTCCACCCTGGATGGACCTCTTGTTTGATCTGTAAAGGCAATTCCTATGCTGTTATGTCACTTTGAACAACATACACACACAAATGAGAGAGAGAGAGAAATGCACAAGCAATAGATTCAATGTGAAAATAAGACCGTGAATGTACAGGTCGAGTATGAATTAAATATAGACCATTATCTCCAAATTAAGAAAAACAAAACAAAAAAAACCCCCAAAACAGAAAAAATATTTACAAGGTAATTGGAATTAGCATCTATTTCTGTCTCCCGGCTATTTCAAAGGCATCTATCCCCTTGGCATCTAAGTCTTTCCTCACCTAGACTGCATAGTTAAGGCTTAGAGCACTAATCAGACTCACTTTCTCCACCCAATACAATCCCAGCAACCACCAAGAAAATATTTTCCTTTCCCTAATCTGCTTTTAGCCAACAGAGAGTAGCAACAACACACTTTGGTCGCTATTCTGTTCCTCTCTGAATAGATTCCACTGGACCTGTGGTGCCCAGAGCAGGCAAGTTACAGCCGAGCACCAGTGTGCATGTGTGTGATCCCGATCTTCACGTGGTGGTGCTTCTGGCCAGTTCCCTCACCTTCTTGGGAAAGCTTTCCCTTAATCAAACCACTCCAATGGGCAGCCTCCAGGAACATTAAAGACACAAGGTTTGCTCCCTCCACCCCACTCTGGGTGCACATCTGTAACAGGACAAGGAATTGGAGTGGATGGTCAGAAGAGTGAACCTTCTGAGCACAATAACTTTTCCACCTACCTCTGCCCCCAAATCATTCTGTATTCAGATCAGAATTCACAATTAGACTCATTTCCCCACAATAACCCACCATTACCTCTCTGCAAGGACCTCCAAAGGGCTAGTTCCCTGAGACCAGCTTCGTACCATCCAAGCAGAATCCATGGCAGCCAGAAAGCCCCTGGCTATTCCAGTTCCCATCGGCCAGAATGGCTAGATGTAATAGGTCACCAAAAAAAAAAAAAAAAAAAAAAAAAGGGACAGGGAAGGGGGAAGAAAAGGAAATTAAAAATGGTACCAAGAACATATTTAGAGGGCAGACTGCTAGGACATTATAACTCAGAGATTAACTTGAGACACTGGCTACCACTGGGCTAGTGGAGGCCAAATGCATGGTGAACTGGCTGTGAGCTAATCCACAGCTAGTGTTTCATTATTCCCTACAATGACTCATAGCCTGGAGCTGCTAAGAGCCTCTCTTAAAAAACAGATATTTCAAACTAACTACAATATGTTAATTATTAACTCTCCTAGCCTAGGACACAGCACAGCGTCCTCAGGGATTCTAGCGGCCACAACAAGGAGCAGGTACAACAGATGCAATTTCAGCAGGTCTCTCACAGTGAGCTTCCTTTGCAAGGTCATTGCTATGCTGAATACTCACTGTTTTCCCAGTTTTCCTTCCCCCAGCCCCTCCCACTCTATTATATAAAACAGCAGTTGCCTTCCTCATGATAAAATGCTCATAGCACAAAGGGAAAGTTGCATTCATTTCAGGGGAGTGATCACTTCCATTCATGGCTCACACAGTAAGTGAGCTGTTTAACTCCTACCTCCAACAGACTGTCCCCAACCAGTGCCACAAGCAGCTGATGGCCATTCTGCTCTCGCACCATTGCTGCATTCTCTGATGCGTACATACATGTGAAGTCAAACATGGCCACATCAGGCTGCCCATAGTGATTGATGGCAAAGTCCAGTGATGGCAGCTGCTGATTGGTAGAAAAGTCAGCTGCTTCCCTGGCATAGTTGAGCAACGCCTCCTGGTCCACATTCTCCCGTGAGAGTAACAGCTCTGTGTCCGCATAGTCCTACCAAAAGGGAGAAGAGTCCGAGTAGAACAGCCACGTGGGAAGAGGGAATTTTAAGTTTGGTATCTGCAGACAACTGTAGGTTCTGAGACTCCTCTAATCCACTGATTTAGGATCTTTCCCTAAATTATTTCATGATCACTAGTGTCTAGGCCTCTAAGAGAAAAAAATGTTTCTATCTCTTCTTCTTGGAAAGAGCCTTGACAACCCTGCTGGCATTTCTGAGCATGCCAACAGGCAATATGGTCACTACAGAGGTGTGAAAGTGTAAAAGTGGACAATGCCAGCAAGTGCAGTGTTTGACGAGTGCTTAGCATGCACGCTACAAATGGAAAGCCTATATGCTAAAGCTGGCAACAGTATCTTGGCCATGAATAATCTGTTGGGTCACTTCCAAAAGATACAGTCAACAACAGATGCTATAGCTTCATAAAGTTGTATAACTATAGACTTGAGGATTGTTTCTGAAGGAGCTTCATGGTTACTATGTCACCTGCTAAATTTAATTTAATTTATTTATTTTTACTTTTTGAGTACTTAAATGCCCTTTCTATTCCATCTTTAAAGGGAGTGAACTTCAGAGCTTAACTATATAAATCTAAAATCACATCAACACAAAAAGCTGAAGTGAAGATTAAGAGCTTGTCTACACAGAGCAGCAATGCAGACTACAAAGGAGTGATTTCTAAAGCAGATTGTGTCACGCACTAACTGGTCCATGTAGATCCAGCTGGTGCACATTAAAAGCTCCCTAATACACTTCAACATAGCACTGTTTAACACAGTACTATGTTAAAGTGCACTATGGAACTTTTACTGCACACCAGCAGGTCTTTGTTGGCCAGTTACTACATTACATGTTAGTCGCTTTAGAAATTACCACCGCTCCCAATCCCCAGCCCGTAGTACGCATTACCTCACTGGGTAGACATGCCCTCAGTGAAAGCATCCAGCTGAAGTCCTGTGAACCTCACTATAAGGGAAGCACGTCTGGGTTTAGGTCTCGATTAAAACAAGCTTAGTGTGTGCCAGCTGAGGGCATCTGAACAAAACAATTAACATACAATATTTTTACATGTTTCTTTGGACTAAGGTTTGAAATCTGATATCCAGGATTCCCCTAATATATTATTATTTCAAATCATGTTCCTCTGAGTCAGATTGACATACCCCATATTACATAATGGACTCAAACCACTAGCTGGCCAGTTAGCAAAAACAACTGATTAAAGAATGCTAAATTCTTGGTGATTAATATGCAGCTGTCTTGCCATAAACTATAGAAGGCAGTTCTAAGGTACAGCCTGGTTCTGTATATTGTCAGAACAGACTAAACGGTGCAGCCCAGCTGTTTACAAATCAAGTGTAAATGAAATGTTAGCCCATTGGTGTATATGGTAGTTAATTTAAACTCCTGTGCACTTCCCTACATGCTCTGTTTTCAGACAAAAGATGCAAGATCTAGAGCCCTACTTATTTCTTTAGGACCAAAACGGATCTCTGTCAATATGAGTAATGGGTAAAGCTCCATCACAACTACTCTTCATACGCTCCCAGCTCTTTCACCTCCACCAAACGAGACGGAGTCACTGAAGGAGTCTATGGGCCTTGCAGGACATTTAAACTTGCTATGTCTAGAAGCCCCAGTTCTGAAGGGGGATGTGAATGAGTGCAGAGCAGAGCACGTAATCCTTTTCTAAGGACTCAATCTGCTTCCTCTAACAGGGCGCTAGTCACATACCTGCCTTAAAAATCCCGCAGGCCATGTCCTAAAAGAGGCCTACCTCAAAACATTGAAGAGAAGTCAATATGCCCAGGTATACATTAAACAATCATTTAATTCCCTTCAAAAATATACTCCCTTCTCCCAAGGTGCCAAGGCCAGATTGTTTCATAAATCTAATACAGAGAGATTTGGGAGAATGTAATACGCACATGCAGTATCACCCCTTTGTCCAGCAAACTCTGCTTTTTGGCAGTCATGACGAAGTAGTGAGTATCATCTTTGTAGTAGACAATATTCTCCAAGTCAATACCTATGACAGAAGAAAAGGATGTAGTAATACAAAGTCGGTTGTATGTTATATGTAGTACAAGAGCTCACAGCATCATTTGGAAGAGCTCTGGCTCAGCCTTCCTTGCTCATGCGAAGGTGTGGCCTGTGCAAAGAGAATGTCTGATAGCGCACATGACACTCACCCACGCCCCTAAATGTAATGGAGGGCCCTGCCAAAATCCCCCAAAGCCGTGGGAAGATCCAACCTACACCAGACTGAAATTACATCGGCTGGTAACCCTTACAACAGAGAGAATTATTATATGGCTGCACTGAGCACTTTATTCACATGCTTTCAAGGGGTTTCAAAAATTGAACCTTTAGATACACAGAGACACCTCTCTCCCTCCCTAGTGGCCCTGACCTTGTTTTGACATTCCTAAGCTTGACTTCAGAGGAGTGGGGGAGAGAGGGAAAACATGGCATCCAAGTTCCTCCATGTGTTGTACCAATAAAATAAAAACCAGCAGGATCTTATTAAAGGGAAAAAGGCAAAATACCACATTTATTGTGAATACAGAAAGAATCATAGTAAGCAGTTAGTTATAGTTATAACATTCCATTCAATCTCATATTTAGTCACACATTCATTCATACAAACATACACACACACAGGTTCTGCAAGGTTGTTATCATAGTTACCAGCCTTAGAGTTGCTCATGCCAAGCCACTGGCCAGGTGGCCTGGACATGAGGAGGGAGCAGGGCCTTGTCAGATGCTCATCTGATGCTCCTGGAAGTTGGTTTGCAGAATCAGACCCCAAAGTTCTCACTTTTTAGAGTCTATTTTTATAGGAATTTCTTCCTATGCCAGTCTATGGGAATTGCTTCATCATGCTGTTGCTGAATCAATCAGCAGATAGCACATTCCTGACGGCTCCAAGATATTATCTTGTTCTTTGGTTCTCCCATCCTTGAGGCTGTTGGGTGGATTCCAGTCTGCCCTCCGGGGGGTCCTCTGGTTATTTCCACTTGACGCCTTCTTCAGCCGATGGACACTGGATTCTTAGGCTGGCACCTCCCTGATCATTCAGTTATTATCCACACCAAGCATCCATCCACATACATCCTCTATCTCTATTTTAATCACAATTGTTAATACAACAAAAGGGCAGGGAGTCTCTGGATGCTGTTTCTGTTGTTAGAGTATTGCTTTGAGTCTCTCTCTCTGTGAATTGCTTTGAGAACAGACTCTGTCTTAGAATGTACTAACACAATTAGCAGCTTGCAAGTTTCACACATAGAGGGAGAGAAACAGTACCAAAAACCAAGAGACCTCTTAATTAGTAATACCCTGGAATTTAAACTATGGGGAATCAAACTCATTTGTGATTTTAATACAGAACTTCTTTAATATGATCCAACACATGGAGTGCTGGGACGGCTTACCACATGTCCAAAAGTAATCAAGCACCGCCCTCCAGTTACAAGCTACAATGACAAGCAGCTGAAGAACAAGCTGGAACAAATCAGTTGAGGAAGTGGGAGACAATCAGACAGGAAGGACAGACAATAGTGATGTACTTCTTGGATCAAGGGCTACGATAGTCAGTCATTCATTGGTGAAAAAAAAAAGGCAGCTTAAGGAGACAACTAGTATAAAAAAATTGGTAATTACATAAACTCCTTCACCTTGAGATACTTGGTCATTGTTCACAAACCTGTGGCTTCTCGCAGATCCTGGAAGAACTTCTGGTTAAATATGAAGGCCACACCACTGATCTCCTCCACTTTGGCTTCGGCTGTGGTGTTGCGATTGATGAAGTTTGCTGTGATAGCAATTGCCAGCTTACCACGGAATTCCTTCCGGCGAAACCCTAGAGCAGAGATCACGAAATACAGCTCAAGTCCGGAGAAGACTCAGCCTGATACAAAGCAAGCCCCTAAATGTATGACAGAAGGGGTCAGATACTAGAGACACTTCTTTACAGGGGAAACAACAAAATCCTCTCTTGCAAATTGCTTCACCTGAAAATAACATTTGGACCTTTGAAGAAAAAAGAAAATGTTTGACTATAATGAAATGACTCCCCTCTATCCCAGACAGTGCAATGGCTCTTAAAGCAATGTTTTAAAATTCATTCCCAACCACCCCATTTATATGCCTAATAATTCCCCACCTTATCTCAGAAGCAAGAGGTGCTGCAAGTGCAAGATTAGTCCACATTAAAAAAAAAAAAATCTAGAAAATGTAGAGAATCTGAAAGTAATCAAGCCCAATACACCTGCTGCTTTGCTTGTAGAGGAAGATGAAGAGAATGGAAGAGGAAGTGGTGGTACAAGTGGCCAACTGGATTCCTGAGGGCTGAAGGGAAGCTTGTTTCTCCTCTGTCACATCTTTACAGACTTTTTAAGTGCTGAATATTTGGAAAGAGATTGGAGTGCAGCTCATACAGAGAATTTTTTTTGTTCAGCTCTGCTATGACCATTTAAAATAGAGACCATTTCACTGCTAAGCGTGTGTTGTGGAAAACTCTCCATTGTGGACACATCAGGAGCCATTACCTTCTAAAGTGTTCCTCCTGCCATCTCCTCCAATGACCACTTCAAATTCGTACTCTGACACCGGGTGCGTTTTTGGGTGGACCTGTGCACGCCAGCCTATCCCTGTAGATAAACCCTCAGTTAATAATGTATTAGGCGTATCTACATTCACAGACATTTTTTAAAAAGCGAACAAAGGAATCAACTCTCACTTCCTACACAAACCATTTCTCACATCCCTGGTTTGGGAGGCTACACAGTTGATACCCTATCAGGTGGTGTTAGCATCTTTTCAGGACCATTATGATATGCCTGACTGCATCTGGAAAACACTTGCAGTAGTAAGATCTAAGCCTAGTGTACACATTGGGTTCCCTTTCAGTGAAGCAAACAGCCAGAATCTACCCAAAGCTTTTAGACAAATACGGTTTAATGGAACTAGGACATAAAGTATAACAGTATAGTAGAGAGATCATTGTAAGGCTCTCTGGTTTACAAGACTGAAAAAGACTTTGCCCAATAGATTCAAAGTCCAACTTCTCATACGTTACATGATCGGTTTGGCCAGTAACAAGATTGCCAACAACATCCATGGCAAGCGTGCAGGGAAAATGAACTAAATAGCCAGAACGCATGCAATGCAAGTGGCTGCTGTTACAAAAAAGTTCTACAGTATTGTAGGCACAACGGGCCAAAATTCTGCAGGAACTCTTGTAAACTGTAGCATTTTGTTCATTTCAGTTGAATACATTAGGCACTTTTAGTTTTGTAAAGTGAAGAAAGGAAGGTTAAGTTACTTATCCTTATAGTAACTGGAATTCTTCAAGTGCTGGCCCGTATGGGTATTTGCTGGGAGTTTGCATGTGCGCCCTGTGTTTGGGTCTCGAAATTCTTCAATAGCTGTGTCTGTCAGTCCAGGTCTGTGTCCTTCAGTTCCTCATGCCCTCATTTGGGAGCACAAGGGACGGTGTGGACTGACCCCCTCCTGTTCCTAGTCCACCGTGAATCCAAAGAGGATCTGAGCAGAGGGGAAGGGGGGCAGGATGCGAATACCCTCAGGACCATACAGCTTGAAGAACTCCAATGACTATATGGTAAGTAACTTTCCTTTCTTCAAGAGCTGTTCCTATATATATTCACTGTGGGTGACTCCTGGGCAGTGATTGAGGAGGTGCTCTGCAGCACAATTTGAAAGATCACTGAACCAAAGGAAGCATCCACAGTGGAGGCTTGCACGAGGGCACAGTGCTGGCTAACCGTGTGAATGGAGCCCCAAGTTGTCACTCTGTAGGTATTCCCTTCCTTATATGGAAGCCATTAAAGCAGCTTGAGCTCTGGTAAAATGAGTCTTGACAGACTAAGCAGGAGGGGTTCTGCCAGCTCAAAGCAGAAGAGGATGGAGTTGGAAATCCGTTCAGAGCGTCTTTGGGAAAATACTGCCTCTCCTTTCCATCCTCTCAGCAAAGGAGACAAATAAACCTCTGAGATCTTCTAACGGGCCTTAGCCTGTCCAGGTAGAAGTCCAGATCTCTGTGTACATCTAGGGTCTCCTGTCCTCCTCATTATTGTGAGGTCTCAGGTAAAATACAAGAAGGTAAACCTTCTGGTTCAAGGGAAAATCAGGTGGAATCATGAGGACAAACTTGGGATGCAATCTCAGGCATACTTTGTCTCTGTGAAAGACTGTATAAGGTGGGTCCACCACCAGGGACCCAAGTTCACCCGCTCTCTTGGCTGAGGCGATAGCTGTTAGGAATGCCACCTCCATCAATAAGTGTAAGAAGGAACAGGATGCCAAAAGGTTCAAATGGCAGGTTCATAAGCGCCAGCAGTATCTGGTTCACATCCTAAGCAGGCATAAATTTTGAAACTGGTGGGTAGTTTCTGACAATGCCTTTTAACAACTTTACTGTTATGGGGTGGGTGAAAACCGACAGCTCTTTACCAAAGAATGAGAGACACTGATAGCCGCTAAGTGTACCCATAGTGAACTGATGGATAGGCCTGATGACCTAAAGGAGAGGAGAGAGGAGACAGTCCAAGATAAGAGGAATTCTGGACTTCTTCAAAGGGAAATGATGCTCTGGCATCACAGGGAGAACCGCTTCCATTTGGAAGCATAACACTTTCTTGTTGAGGGCTTCCTGCTATTGAGAAGGATGGATTGGACCTCCTCCAAGCAAGATCTGTGCAAGTCTGATGTCCATCCAATAACCAATCTGCCAGATAGAGAGGTGTGGGGGGTGGGATGGTTGGGAATGCTTCTGTTCTGTGGCAGGCTGGGAGACAGCTGCAGGTGAATGCATGGGCGGGAGGCCATCTGCCCAGCTGTGGTGAACCAAAACGGTCATGACCACCATGTCACTATCAAAATCACTGTTGCCTTGTCGCACTTGATCTTTCAGAGGACGTGAGGTAGGAGGGGAATGGGAGGGAAAGCATACTTCAGCAGGTCTGACCATTGCACTGGGAAGGCATCCCCTCTGGAGTCCTGCCCCTGTGAGTCTTGAGAGCAATAGGTTGGGCACTTTCTGTTTCCATTGGTTGCAACAAGCTCCCACGATGGGAATCCCCACTGACAAAAAAATCTGCTGGACTAACGACACGTGGTGCTTCCCCTTTTGAAAATGCCTATGGTGTTTGCAAGGGAGTTCATTACTCCTGGTAGGTACACTGCATAGAGGGTAATCTGATGCTGTATGCACCAGTTCCAGAGTTTGACTGCTTCCCTGCAGAGTGGGGCAGACCTTGCTCCCTCATTTGTTTGCATAATAAACAGCGGCCCTGTTGTCTGACCTGACCAGACCCTCAGTGGACCGGATGAAGGGCAGGAACCTCTTACACCCTGTGTACTGCCCGAAGCTCAAGAACATTGACGCAGAGTGTGGATTCTTGCAGAATCCAGGAACCCTGAGCTGCATGGTTGTCCACATCCATTCCTCAGCCCAGTAGAGAGGAATCCCTAACAAGTGTCTTTGTGGGTGGCACAGGAACAAAAGGAACCCTACACAAACATTGCCCCTCTTTTCCCACTAGGTGAGTGATATCAGGACACTGAGAAAATGAGACTTTTGTCTAGGGGGTCTCTGCTTCCTCAGCCAAGCCTGGAGACCGTGAAGGTGGAGCCTTGCAAAGGGAATCAAAGTAAATGCATGCAGCCAGGTGACCTAGCAAGATGAAGTAAGACTGGACTGATGTCTGAGGGCTGAGACGAAGGTGAATAATGAGGTCTATCTTTGCAAGGAATCTGTCCTGTGGTAAACAGGTTCTGGCTGCAATAGAGTCTAGATTTGCTCCAGTAAATTTTGTAGTTGTTGTGGGTGTTAAAGTGAACTTTCCTGGATTTACCTGGAGTCGTGACTCAAGTTGAGTAAGGAGATGAGTGCTACCTGCTCCTTGCACTACAATCCTCTTGTGAGCAGCCAGTAATGTAGGCAGGGAAATATAGAGTTGTGCTGCCACCTCTGCCATGACTTTTGTATAAACCCTTGGGGCTGCTGAAAGGGCAAAGGGGAGAATCATGTATTGGAATGCACTAACCTCACTGTGAAATGCAGCCATCTCCTGTGCGCTGGGTGGATGTCTCTGAACTGGGGCAGATTTTCAAGAGGGTGGGACAACAGGAATTTGATTACGTACCCAGTTGCAATGTTGTCTGAGACCAATTTGTCTAATGTTATATAAGCTGCCGCACAAGAAGAAAACAGGTCAGGGGAAAACAATGAAAGGGGGAAAGGAGACTGGTTGTGCCTGGACTGGCTGATGGCTCTCGAACGTCCCATCAAAATGACTTGGTAGGTGTTTGAGTCTGGAGAGGGGATGGTTGTGGTATGAGGTGTATGTCGTGCTGCACCCTCTGACATCTTTTCAGGAGTTCATAGGCCCTCTGGTGGTAGAACAGCTATGGGGTTGGCTGGTATCTTTGTAGTGGCAGCTTAGAAAATTTACCTGTGAAGAGCAGGGGTGTATATTCCCAAAGAGTAGAAGGTGGCACAAGAACTCTTAAGGGAAAGAAGCAACTCAGTTTTCTCCCTAAATAGGTTGTTATCCTCAAAACAGAATTTACAAATCTGTGAATCTCTATGGCCAGAAAGGACCATTGTGATGATCTAGTCTGACGTGCTGTATAACACGGGCCATAGAACTTCCCCAAAACAATTCCTACAGCATATATTTCAGGAAAATATCCAATCTTGATTTAAAAATTTCCAGCGATGGAGAATCCACCACAATCCTTGCTAAGTTATTCCAGTGATTAATAACTCCCACTCTTAAAAATTTAGATCTTATTTCCTGTCCGAATTTTTCTATTTTCAACTTTCAGCCATTGAATCACGTTATACTTTTCTCTGCTAGACTGATGGGTCCATCATCAAGTATTTGTTCCCCTCGTAGGTACTTACAAAGACTGATCGAGTCACCTTTTAACCTTCTCTTTCTTAAGATAAATAGATTCAGTTCCTTGAGTCTATCACTATCTGGCAAGTTTCCTAATCTTTTAATCATTCCCCTGGCTCGTCTCTGAACTCTCTCCAATTTATCAAACATCAACTGGATCTCTTTGGGGAACTCCAATGACTGCAACCAAGAGATCTGCCTCATGACTACCAAGGTCACCATGGCACAGGAAGCCAGGTCTGCTGCATCAAGTGACACCTGAAGGGACAATCTAGCTACCAGCTTCCCTTCATCTAGGAATAGTCTGGAATTGAGGCCTACAGTCCTGCAATACCTTATTGACAAACTCTGACAGCTTGTTGTAGTTGATGAAGTCATACTTTGCCATGACTGCCTGCTAGTTCACAATGTGGAATAGTAGGCTGGCTGAAGAAAAGTTCTTTCTGATGAAGAGATCCAGTCTCTTGGAATCCTTGTCCAAAGGAGTGGACCTGGGTTGATGTAGTCTGTTCCGCACCATGACTGCTTGGACAATCAGAGAGTCCAGCTTAGGGTGTGAAAAAAGTACTTCTCCCCGAAGGGAAACAAAATATTTCTTTTCAATCCTCTCAGAGGTCAGGGAACAGGTGGCAGGTGTGTATCAAATGTCCTCAGCAGGCTCTAAAATGGGCTTATTAATAGCGAGAGTCACCTTGGAAGGATGTGTACTGGAGAATATCCAGAAGTTTGTGTAGGATCCTGAAGCCTCTTCTAGTGGAATCTGGAGGGTTTCACAGATCCTCCTCAGAAGTTCCCGGTACTGCCTGTAGTCCTCTGGAGGGGAGAGAGAGGGTGGTGCCATTGCTTCATCTGAAGAAGATGATGATGATGCTGTTGGAGGATCTGGCGGTACTGACAGGTCCAGTTGTTCTTGTTCCTCCATATGATCCTGAGGAGTTGAGGCTCCTCTCTTGGAGGTAATTTCTGCCAAAAGTGATGCCCCCAGCTCCTCAGTCTGAGGCTCAATAGCATGGATTCCAAGAGCTCCAGTATCGCCAGTGTGTAAGCTCATATACAGTACAGAAGCAGGTGCCAAGGGGGGGTACCATTGGTCCCTAGCTGTATAGTATAGGTCATGGGAATGTAGGGGCCTCTGGAAACCACCTGGACCAATGTCCTATGTCTGGACCATTGGGAGAACCGGTGGTATCACCTCCTGTTCATCTGCGGAGTAACAGTCATCCAACACGGTAGGTGGGTCTGTTGGTACCATCTGTCTTATGGCAGGATGGTCAAAGGTATACCTCAGCGAGTAGCGTCCCAACAGCGTTGAAGCATCCATGGCTCAGCTAGCACATGGGACCAGTGAACAACATGGGAACAGTGCAGTGATGTCTCGGACTAGAACAGAGTCCTATTGTTTCGGCAACTCAGGATCTGTGTAAATTGCCAGGTCCTCAAGAACGCTGTAATGAGGTTTGTAGGAAGGAGAACTGGCCAGGTACTTCAGTATAGGTTGGTGTCCTGAGGTGGGGCTGGGCACAGATCTCGGTGTGGTGTGGTGGGCGAGTTCTCCTTCCTATCCTTACACACCTTTGTGGAGGTTTAGTGCCAGAAGCACCTGGCCCGGGCTCCCTGTAAGCTCTGGGTGAACCCACTCTGGGGCACGGAGTCTCACCTGGTATCAAGGGTGGGGAAAAAGGCAGCCCATTTCTTGGTGGTCTTATGCAGTAATTTTTCTCTTTCTATAGCTGTTTCTCATTTCTTCTTCATATCTTCATTTCATGGAGTCCTTGGGACTGCTGCAGGATTCTGAGCTGGAAAATGCTGTTGCTAGTGAAATACTGCCCAGAGCCTCTGACCAATGAGAGGGAGAGCAGAAGGGTCCCAGATATGCCAGGGGCCTCATGGAGGGCTCCATTAGACATCTGCAGCCTAAATTCCAGAGACTGCCTAGTGCCAAGGGGAAAGGAGTAGCAGGTCTCTCACACTGACGAAATGTGTGATCCCCCAAGGCAACTCTCAAGAGGGTCACTCACTGGGAAGTCCTGAAGGCAGGCCAGGGTGGACTTGAAGCCCAGAACCCCGGTTACACTAAATGCCCTGGGAGAACAATGGAGGGCAGGGCAGGGCAGACCCCCCCCCATCCCTACTGACTATGACTAAACTACTATCTATCTGTCAGGGCTCATTCTGCCAGAACTCAAGCTCAAGAAATCCCCCCCGAGATCAACAGAGCAACCTGAGGCTTCATTTCCATGGCTACCAAGTACTATGCCCTCATGCAAGCCATGACTGTGGGGGCTTCCTTTGGTTCAGCAATCCTGCATACTGGTGCAGAGCACCTTCTTACACCTGCCTCCTCAAGAATCACTGCTTGGGAGTCACCTACAGTAAATACCCATGGAGACCAGTATTCAAAGAAGCGGGAAGGTTACTTATACCTTATAGTAGCTAGAGAATCCTTCAAGTTGCATGGTTCCCCTCTGTATTTGCGTCCCACCCTCCTTCCCCACTGCTCAGATCCTCTTCAGATTTGAAGTAGAGCAGAAATTGGAGAGGTGATTGGTCTACACTTCCCCTTATGCCCTCGGTTCAGAGCACATGAGACGAAAGGTGCAGGTGCAAACCAACAGACACTGCTACTGAAGAATTTCTGAACCAAGGCAAAGAGAGCACATCCAAACCCCCAGTGAATATCCACAGGGACCAATCAGAAGCAACACATTTATGTACTAGAGAGTAAAACCGATTGGATTAAACTAGCCTACTTTTTCATTCTGAAGAACAGCATTGTGTGCATGCACCTGTCTCATTTTTACTCCCCTACTCCCCCCCCCCATTTTGTCTTTACTTACTCTCATTCTCTTGGTCCTCAGGGGGATAGACAAGCCCCTGGAATTCCACATTGACATGGATCTCTATTCCCAAGATCAAGGCAACCTTCAAGAGGATGAGCTGGAGCTGACGGATACCTGCAGGACAGGAGATGAACATTTATAATAAAGATAGATTTTGTCTATCGGTGCACATCTTATGGAAGCACCAGTTACTACATCAGCCTCTTCAGATCATTTTTAGAAATAAAGCATTTTATAAGATGGTTTTAAAGAACACAGAAATCACTCTCCCAGACCAATGGGCAAGTTTGTCCAACACCTGCCTTCCTATCCCAAGGATTGTGGTCCAGAGTTCATGGCAGGGCATCAAGCTTAACACCTCCTGCTCTTTCGAGAGCTAGCACAACTTCTTAGAGTGAGGTAGACAGTTTGTAGGCCTGGAGGAATACTACAGGCAATAAAGACACTGCTACTCTGCAGGGAAAACTCTGCTGGCTAATTCAGGACTCCACTTAATTGTTGTGATTCAAGGGTGGGGGAGAAGACGGGGACAAGAGAGGATGGAATGCTCTGTGCGTGTCTGTCTATAAGATCAAAGTTCCAGAGATTTTTCTGTCAGTCCTATCTATCACTTCAAAACAAGAGCTAGACCTTTTTCCTACACTGGAGGCCAAGTCCTGTTTATTAGCTGTTGCTAGGTAGGATTTGCTTCCCTATCTTCCAGCTTTTGTTTGCTCACCACTTGGCAGAAAACATCCTTGTGTTAAAAGGAACTGGCTGGCGACATGCCCAATACATGATCAAAAACAAAGGAATGCATTACCCTGCGACAGTGAAGCATAGTCATTCAGCTTTAAAATGGCAGTAGATCCCCCATTTAAATCAAACTTATCTTATCTTCTCAGTAGCTTGATTGCTAACCCTCTACCCAATCAAATCCTATTCATAATCTGGCATCTTTCCTTGTCCTCAGTCACTTTCCTAAAAACATTAAGTAGTGAATCCATCTTCACCACTCCTTTCCACTCTTCCAAATGTATAGATTACAACCTATGTGAAATTGTCTTATATTGCCTGTACCAGGAGTGTCATAGCTTTATTTCTACATTTTTGGGTTTTGCAGGGCCATATGCAAAGTGTGATGTTCAGGAGTATTAGGATATTTTCTGCAACTTGCCTAGCATTTCTAGGGCAAAGGATTGGTGTGACAGTTGCAGGGATCTCACTGAGGCACTTAAAGAGAATTATCAGTTGGAAGGGGGGGAGTTGGTTCCCCAAGTCTAATTTTCAAAGTAGAAAGGAAGGGTTAATGGCAAGATCACAGGTGTATGCTGGGTTGCAATTACAGGTTCTGCAACAGCCCCACCTTTAGCCCACGTCTAGATCTGGCCCAAACAATGCTATAAAAACACAGGACTGAATTGCATCAGTCACATATTACAGGGACACAGCAGATCAGAGGAGCTGTAGATCAGATTTTATTGAGTCACTAAATGATATCTCCCACCTTTTCCCTGAGGAGAAGTGAGATCGGATGTGTGGATAACAGATGCTTTACTTACTGATGTGGTCGATGGCTCCTGCACAGAACTTGCCATAGAACTTTTTGGCGCCAAGGCCCCGCAAGTCGTGTATGGTGAATGGCCACAGGTGCAGCACATTGTTGCGAGAGAAGGCATCCCGCTTTTCTATGACCACTACCTTGGCTCCTAGTAAGGACAGGTCGATGGCTGTACGAAGGCCACAGGGTCCAGCCCCAATTATGAGACACTGCAAGACATTGGCACCAAACAATGTTACAGACCTGAATAAAAAAAAATATTTCTACCACATCTTCAAAGTAGCACAAGGCACTTCACTTAGTCCTATTGTCCTATAGCTGCATCACAAGCTGGGATTTCACCAGACACAAACCCTTTTGATGTCACCTGTGTGCTCTGTCACTAATCTGTTAATGCAGTTACTGCAGCCTGAATTAAAGTAAGAATGTTACACCAGTGGAAAAGGTGAGGAGCGAACAAACCAATTGTGAATTTTCAAGTCTCATTGAAGAAGTGTGCCAAGCTGTACTCTTCCATCTTTGTAAAATTTGGGTAGCGGCAAGAGTTCCAAAGGATCCTGGCCCAGTTTGTATTAATTTCTCTCCTTACAGCAGGTAATTTAGCCATTTTCTCTTTCTACTTTTACTTCCCAAAGCCTGAATTGGCCATTTAGGAGGCAACTACCAATGGCCTTGCCTACACGAGACTTTTTCCTTAAAATTTCCCACTGCTGTGGAGCTGCACCAGTGGTAGCAATGGTGAGACTACTAGGGTAGGCAAGACACAGGAGCTAGGATATTTGAATCAATAGCTCACCGAGTTCCATTCTGAGCAGCACGGGACAACACTGCAGTAAAAATGCAGATTTGTGGTTACTCTACCATTCCTACCATTGCCACCGTCAAAGCAGCAACACTGGGAAGTTTTAGGAAACAAAATTTAGCATAGACACAGCTCTTTTCTAACTGACTAGACAATTTCTAGCAGGACACATTTCCCTTCAAGTCTACTTCTGCTGTGTGTTCTCTCTTCCTCCCATCTCATTCTTCACTCCACTTACAAGCACTATTAGTATTAAAGGAAAGTTAACTAGTAATCTGAACATAATTACAGAGCCAGCTATCTTTGAATAGTGAGAGCACCATAATGTCTTAGTAGGATTAAAAAACTCCAAGATGGCATGCTAGCATTACTTACCCAGAGTGCAATCCTACGGCCTCAGAGAAACCCTGTATACTAGCCCAAATGGCTCACAAAGTGATCTGTAGTAAACAGTCCACCTTTATCATATTATTTTTCTGCCTGAAAACATAGGAACTGACTTCTGTTGAGTACAAAAAACACCTGTTTTTCCCATTTGTTATCGATTTCTTTGTTGATCATACAATTCTCAAAAACTTTTCTTCCGTCTGTCAAGGTTCCGAAGAGGATAAGTATTACCTAGTAGCTGAACAGCTGCATCTTTATACAAAGTTAATGACCGCTCCGTTTTTTTCGCAACCACATCCCCAAAGAGGACTAAATATGATATAAGCATCCAGGCCACATTTACACAGCCAACTTTTATTTTTCTGATGACGCTCCCATTGTGAAGTAGTCATGATAGGATCCAAGAGAGTAAATGAATTATTTTATACCGGACAGCTCATAAATTCAGGTCCACAGAATGTTCCTGTATATTAATTAGCAATGATTTTGTCCTACTAAGGTATTTTTCTTAAATTCTACTTCTCATTCTTTCTTCAAATACAAGTTTAGGTCATACTTAAGCATTTAGATATTCTGAATGTAGCATGTAAGGCATCTAATAATATATTGATGGATGTCCATTCTTGTGCCTCCACAGGACAACTTACTAAAAAATATTACTACTAAGCTAAGAGTCATTCAGGGATCCCACAGATATTTAAGCAAATTGTTTTTAAACTGGTTTCAGAGTAACAGCCGTGTTAGTCTGTATTCGCAAAAAGAAAAGGAGGACTTGTGGCACCTTAGAGACTAACCAATTTATTTGAGCATGAGCTTTCGTGAGCTACAGCTCACTTCATCGGATGCATACCGTGGAAACTGCAGCAGACATTATATACACACAGAGATCATGAAACAATACCTCCTCCCACCCCACTGTCCTGCTGGTAATAGCTTATCTAAACTGATCATCAAGTTGGGCCATTTCCAGCACAAATCCAGGTTTTCTCACCCTCCACCCCCCACCCCTCCCCCCACACACACAAACTCACTCTCCTGCTGGTAATAGCCCATCCAAAGTGACAACTCTCTTCACAATGTGCATGATAATCAAGGTGGGCCATTTCCAGCACAAATCCAGGCTCTCTCACCCCCTTTTTTCCAGGGGACACACACACACACACACACACAAACTCACTCTCTTGCTGGCAATAGCTCATCCAAACTGACCACTCTCCAAGTTTAAATCCAAGTTTAACCAGAACGTCTGGGGGGGGGGGGGGGGGGGAAAAAACAAGGGGAAATAGGCTACCTTGCATAATGACTTAGCCACTCCCAGTCTCTATTTAAGCCTAAATTAATAGTATCCAATTTGCAAATGAATTCCAATTCAGCAGTTTCTCGCTGGAGTCTGGATTTGAAGTTTTTTTGTTTTAAGATAGCGACCTTCATGTCTGTGATTGCGTGACCAGAGAGATTGAAGTGTTCTCCGACTGGTTTATGAATGTTATAATTCTTGACATCTGATTTGTGTCCATTTATTCTTTTACGTAGAGACTGTCCAGTTTGACCAGAGGGGCATTGCTGGCACTTGATGGCATATATCACATTGGTGGATGTGCAGGTGAACGAGCCTCTGATAGTGTGGCTGATGTTATTAGGCCCTGTGATGGTGTCCCCTGAATAGATATGTGGGCACAGTTGGCAACGGGCTTTGTTGCAAGGATAAGTTCCTGCGTTAGTGGTTCTGTTGTGTGGTATGTGGTTGTTGGTAAGTATTTGCTTCAGGTTGTGGGGCTGTCTGTAGGCAAGGACTGGCCTGTCTCCCAAGATTTGTGAGAGTGTTGGGTCATCCTTTAGGATAGGTTGTAGATCCTTAATAATGCGTTGGAGGGGTTTTAGTTGGGGGCTGAAGGTGACGGCTAATGGCGTTCTGTTATTTTCTTTGTTAGGCCCGTCCTGTAGTGGGTGACTTCTGGGAACTCTTCTGGCTCTATCAATCTGTTTCTTCACTTCCGCAGGTGGGTACTGTAGTTGTAAGAAAGCTTGACAGAGATCTTGTAGGTGTTTGTCTCTGTCTGAGGGGTTGGAGCAAAAGGGTTGTATCGCAAAGCTTGCCTGTAGACGATGGATCGTGTGGTGTGGTCAGGGTGAAAGCTGGAGGCATGTAGGTAGGAATAGCAGTCAGTAGGTTTCCGGTATAGGGTGGTGTTTATGTGACCATTGTTTATTAGCACTGTAGTGTCCAGGAAGTGGATCTCTTGTGTGGACTGGACCAGGCTGAGGTTGATGGTGGGATGGAAGTTGTTGAAATCATGGTGGAATTCCTCAAGGGCTTCTTTTCCATGGGTCCAGATGATGAAGATGTCATCAATATAGCGCAAGTAGAGTAGGGGCTTTAGGGGACGAGAGCTGAGGAAGCGTTCTAAATCAGCCATAAAAATGTTGGCATACTGTGGGGCCATGCGGGTACCCATAGCAGTGCCGCTGATCTGAAGGTATACATTGTCCCCAAATGTAAAATAGTTATGGGTAAGGACAAAGTCACAAAGTTCAGCCACCAGGTTAGCCGTAACATTATTGGGGATAGTGTTCTTGACGGCTTGTAGTCCATCTTTGTGTGGAATGTTGGTGTAGAGGGCTTCTACATCCATAGTGGCCAGGATGGTGTTATCAGGAATATCACCGATGGATTGAAGTTTCCTCAGGAAGTCAGTGGTGTCTCGAAGGTAGCTGGGAGTGCTGGTAGCGTAGGGCCTGAGGAGGGAGTCTACATAGCCAGACAATCCTGCTGTCAGGGTGCCAATGCCTGAGATGATGGGGCGCCCAGGATTTCCAGGTTTATGGATCTTGGGTAGTAGATAGAATATCCCAGGTCGGGGTTCCAGGGGTGTGTCTGTGCGGATTTGATCTTGTGCTTTTTCAGGAAGTTTCTTAAGCAAATGCTGTAGTTGCTTTTGGTAACTCTCAGTGGGATCATAGGGTAATGGCTTGTAGAAAGTGGTGTTGGAGAGCTGCCGAGCAGCCTCTTGTTCATATTCCGACCTATTCATGATGACAAGAGCACCTCCTTTGTCAGCCTTTTTGATTATGATGTCAGAGTTGTTTCTGAGGCTGTGGATGGCATTGCGTTCTGCACGGCTGAGGTTATGGGGCAAGTGATGCTGCTTTTCCACAATTTCAGCCCGTGCACGTCGGCGGAAGCACTCTATGTAGAAGTCCAGTCTGTTGTTTCGACCTTCAGGAGGAGTCCACCTAGAATCCTCCTTTTTGTAGTGTTGGTAGGGAGGCCTCTGTGGATTAGTATGTTGTTCAGAGGTATTTTGGAAATATTCCTTGAGTCGGAGACGTCGAAAATAGGATTCTAGGTCACCACAGAACTGTATCATGTTCGTGGGGGTGGAGGGGCAGAAGGAGAGGCCCCGAGATAGGAGAGCTGCTTCTGCTGGGCTGAGATGGATGGGCTATTACCAGCAGGAGAGTGAGTTTGTGTGTGGGGGGGTGGAGGGTGAGAAAACCTGGATTTGTGCTGGAAATGGCCCAACTTGATGATCACTTTAGATAAGCTATTACCAGCAGGACAGTGGGGTGGGAGGAGGTATTGTTTCATGATCTCTGTGTGTATATAATGTCTGCTGCAGTTTCCACGGTATGCATCCGATGAAGTGAGCTGTAGCTCACGAAAGCTCATGCTCAAATAAATTGGTTAGTCTCTAAGGTGCCACAAGTACTCCTTTTCTTTTTGTTTTTAAACTGATCATCTCTTCCTCACACTTCCAGCCCCTTTCCAGGTTGAGACCTCATGCAAAAACTGGCTCTCCTGTAAGAATGTTCAGAATTCAAAGCGCTATGTATTGGATTTATAAGGAGGTGCTAACAGTAATTTAACTGAAGCTCTACAACTGGAGACAGTGACAAGTTCTAACTTGAGGTGGGAATTATGATCAATAGCCGCAACAACTTTGTGCATTATACGCAACTTCCCCCTCAAAAATACCCTATAGCTGAGATTTTTCAGGAACAAGAGTAAAGACATTTGGA